AAGGGATGAACAGAGGTGACCAAATGTCTGTCTGTGGTTCATATCTCATCACTTTTTCTGGATAAATCCTTCAGAAAGGAGTTTCTGCAAGGATCCTCCTTGTAGAGTTTTCTAGAGCTATCACAATTGCCCTCCTGTAGTTATACCTCCCTGCCAATTTCCTACACCCCAGAAATCTAGAATGCCCAAACCAGAAGTTAGGAACATTCAAAAAGTTCTTTACAGAGAGAGTGATCAGGCATTGGAATGGCCTGCCCAGAGAGGTGGTGGATTCACCGTCCCTGGAGGTTTTTAAGATGAGGCTGGATGTGGCACTGAGTGCCATGATCTGGTAATCACAGTGGAGTTGGATCAAGGGTTGGACTTGATGATCTCAGAGGTCTCTTCCAACCCAGTTAATTCTATGATTCTATGAAAATTTAGGACTAAAGAGCATTAGGACCTGCAAATTCCAGCACCACAAACACTGGTTGTACAATGATACAGTTCTTACAGCTCCTGTTTACGAGGTTAAAGAAGTAATGATTCATGAGACTGGCTGACACCTGGAACGATTTAACCAGGCCATCCCTGATGTAAATGACATTGACTCACATTTCCACATGTAGGTGGAACTGGCAATTGTCTTTTCCTCATAATTGTCTTAACTTGCTTTGCTAGTTAGAAATCATTTTCTAGGTTATATTTCAAATCTGGTAGTCATTAGAGGTACATAGATGTTTGTATTTACAGTCAATGGAACACCTAGGACAGAATTTGACCTACAAATTTATATATGTAGCAGCAGTCTAGATAGAAAAATATGTACTTAAGCCTGAACCAGAACTGATACATACACAACATTTAAAATATGAATGCACATGTTGGGGTAGGCAAGGTTTTTGTGGCTTTTTTTTTCCCCTCACCCCTGAAATATTTCCAATTTCTTGCCTTTAAGTGATCTTTTCATTATGACATTCTCATAGATAATGCAGGGGGAAACAACTTTAAATATTAGGATTTATTAAAATCTTGGAAATTTCTAAAAAATTGAACTAAAAAGAGTTAATATGGAAAGGGAGAAAATTATGGAGTACTGGTCATACCCCACTGGCTTTGTTCCAGAAAGTGTTTCGATTCCTCTCCTCTTTCTGGCTATCTGCCTATTCTTTCCAAAGGGAAGGGCTTATTCCAGACCTTTGCAATTAAACAATACTCCGTGACATAGCCGTGATGTAAGCTGACTGTAGCTAGCTAAGCTGACTGCAGTGGTATGTCATGACTTTGACCACAGAGATTTGACCCAATTGCCATGACCTGACACACTTGCAATCTAGTACAGCCTGAAGACTCAAAGCAACAGTCTCTGAAACCACTAGAGACTCATGTGAAAGCTGAAACCAAGCAGAACAAGACTGAATTAAACCCAGGAGAAAGGCACTCTAAAAAACTGTAATTATATGAGTTTGTTAATCATATAGTTTGTTAATACATGCTTACTTTGCTTTTTAGGGGACTTAGGGTGCGATATCCCCATGCTTTTTAAGAACAGAAGTCTTGACAATCCAGGAGGAAATGACAGAGCTGATTACATCCTCTTCTGAATACATATTAGGGACATAACGCAATCTGCGTGCTGACTGATCAGTATGTACTGAAGCTTCACTGCAGGGCAAAGTGGTGTTAAAGTGTTGTGCAGCCCTTGAACAGATCCATGCAGTGTTTGGTGATTCTGCCTCAAACAATAAGGGGTTACACTGCAGTAGCTGAGACAGCTTACGGGATACCCTTGGCCTTCTTGGCCACCAGGACTACTGCTGGCTCACGGGCAGCTTGTTGTCCACCAGGACCCCCAGGTTCTTGTCCACAGAGCTGCTTCCAGCAAGTCAGCCCCCAGCCTCTACTGGTGTCTGGGGTTATTCTTTCTCAGGTTCAGGACCCTGCACTTGCCTTTGCTGCATTTCAGACAGTTCCTCTCTGCCCGTCTCTCCAACCTGTCAAGGTCCTCCTGAAGGGCTGCACAGCACTCCTGGGTATCAGCCAGTCCTCCCAGCTTTGTGACAGCAGCAAACTTGCTGAGGAGGCATCTGCCCCTTCACCCAAGTCATTGGTGAGTAAGTTAAACAATGCTGGGGCCAGTATCGAACCTTGCCTCCAAAAAGACCCTGTGGCACTGATGATGACCCTCTGAGATCTGCCATTCAGCCAGTTCTCAATCTCCCTCACTGTCCCCTCATGCAGTCCATACTTTCTTAGTTTGCCTATGAGGTTTTGTTTTTCCCAGTACAGGGTAGTATCTATAGAGCAGCCTTTAAAGTCTTATTCCCCACCCTTTTAAATATAAAAGCAGCATTTCCTTGTTCTGTTAGCACCACTGGGTAGAATACTGAAGTGATATAGAACATTTGTACCTGTACATTACTGCAATCATACTGAAAGTCACAGTATTTATCTCTTGGAAGTCAAACAAAAGGTAGAAGATAAAACAAGAAAAACTGTCAAGGAAACTTAGAAATATCACTCCCTAGTAGTCCAGGATCTCATCTATTGTAGGTTCTCAGCTCCATATATGGCTACACTATATTCTTGCATGGAAACCATTCAGAATTCTACATAATTTTTGGACTTGTTTTGCGATTCTGTCAGCACTGCTTTTCTGTTCTTGATGCTTGAAGATTTTCTGGACTGGAATATGAACAGAAGAACAGCTGTAGAAGATCATAACAAATTCCATGTATCTCTGTATACTGTCACAGACAGTGGCCTGCAGGGATGCTGAAGAAGTGGTATAAGAACAGATGGAAAGATGACATAATACTTCCCCAAAATAAGCTTGCAGTCTCTAATGTCATGGTTCAGAGACAGTTTGATTGGAAAAAAAAAAGGAAGAAGGTAGTGCCTTGTGCAGTCCCAGTTACCAGGTGCTTTCCTCCCTTTCCAGCCTTATAAAAGCTTGTGAATAAAACTTCTGTTTCTGCGTCTTACCTATTTTTATCTCCTTCACTGTTGTTCACTACCACTGAGAACCAGAATTCCTAAACTGAAAAATCAAACAATGTGCTATTTCTGAAAAATATAAATCTCAGCAGCCTAGTGTCTTTATTCCAAAAGTCACAGATAATCACGTGAGAGAATTTTGCAAGCTAAGTCTAGAACAGGACTTAAAATTAACCACTTGAGGCCAAATTAACCATCAGATTACTCTGTAAATTACTATCTATTCCAAGTTCATTGCTTGTATGAAGCTATAAATAAGTGTGTACTGTCTAGGACAGTGATGAACAGTGACTAATGTACCCTGGAAATTCAGTCTTTTCTCTAATCAAATGCTTTGTTCTGTCAGCAAGTTCCAGGAAGGGTTTTCTGCACTTTACAGCAGACAAAATGTATTATTATCACTCCATATTTACTATTTTTTCCCAGAATCCTCTCTTCAATGCTCTCAGGAGATAAAGCTGCATCCCCAGTGGAAAAGTAGACTTGAATAAAAAAGGTGGGTTTTGCTGTGGCTACCATAATTGATGATCCAAAAGAAGTTCTTTTAGGTAAGACTCTTAACCAGACTAGTCTGATATCTTACTCCTCACAATCAACACTTTGTTCTGTCCAGAAGCAAGTAGCAAGCAGGCAGGGAGAATGAGAACAAGCATCTTCAAACCTGTGATCTCCTACTGTTTGGGGGTGGATACAGAGGTGTGGCATAACTACAGGGTAAGCAAATCATGAGAGGGTTCATAACCACTTTTCAGAGGCAGATTGGAGAAAAAAAGGCAACTCTGAGCAATGTTTTCACAGAAAACAGAATAGAATACAGAGGCAGCAGTGATGAAGCAGCCAGGACGCAAGTTCCTAAAAGAGTTCTCAGACTAAGGGAACATCTGGAGGGCTTGCTCCCTCTACTGGAGCATTCTAACAGACCCACAAGAGCCTTGCTAGTTTGACCCACTTTTAAATCCACAGCAAATCTCTTGGACTGAGAAATAAAGATTAATGCAGGGTTGGTTACTATTGCTGGCTTAGTTTCACAAGGGGTTTCTTTAAAAGACTGAATACCTACTTGAACATGAAGTTGAAGGCAGAGGAGAGAGAGCTATTTCATTGCTTTTGTTTTAAAAAGAAACAAAATAAGGCATTCAAGTTGAAATCTATATTTTTCAGATCATAATTCTGTCAGTTCAGTCAAGCTGGAACATGGAAAAAGCAAGCAGACCTTTCAAGTGCCTGCAGACCTTTCCAGTTCCATGTAGCGCAGAAGAACAACTCTTGTTATGTGACCTTTGCACTAGGACAGGTCACTTGCTGTCATTCCTGTAGCCACATACAGAGAAAACCACCTGTGTTTTTGAACTGTGTGTTTCTGTCGAGTACAGCCTGGCCTTAAATACTTGGGCTTATGAATAAATAGCTTATTCCTGCAGCAAACAGAGAGTAAACCTCTCCTGAAGTATCTTTAGACAAATACAATGCCATCACTTACTTATTTAGCATTCATGTCAGGTAATGTAAGTCACAGCAACACGAGGCACGACATCAAGAAACCATGACTCAGACACTCACCGACACAACTCTACTCTTGTTTGAAATAGTTTGTGGCTGAGACTCCTCTTTCTCTCTTGTAGAATTAGGGTCACCTTTGGGCTCTGAGACATCCCACATGCCTTTGGACAGATTGGAGGGCCTTGCACCTTGCAACTCAGCTTTCTGCCTGCTAAATGAAAGTTGAGGGAGACTTATTCCTTCATTATTCCTTCATTATTCCTTTTATAACTTAAGTTAGATGGCATTGTGTGGAATCTTCTTTCTCATATATATAATGTCTGACATTTGGTACAAAGACCTCCAATTTTAGCTGAACATTACAAGCATAATAGTAAAAAGTAAAATATTTGACTAAAAACTCAGCTAGATGTATGTTAGTGGATTTTGTGGCCTCTCCGATTAAAATAACCTCTCATTTTTCAGTTCTCTGTCATCTCAGTGAACAGCTTGGTCTACTGGTGCTCAATCACCTTATAAATGCAATGGAGGAAATGGAAACCAAGCTCTGCAGCAGTGATAAAGAGGAAACTTTCAAAAGAGAACTACCGTACTGCATAGGAGAAATAGACTTCACAGCTTCTGGGAAGAAACATGGAAAGGTAGGGCACAAAGGGTTTTAACCCTTTAACACTACTGCTGTTGTTGAGCTTCTTAGCAATAAATGTAGAGACTGTAACAGTGAGGGTCAAAGTGCCACAGTGTGAGGCACCACATTGTACTCAAAGTAGGGACTATACCTTCCTGAACAAGAATGTGGTTGAAAATATGGCCTATTAATATACAGAAGTCAATCACATGATTTGCAGTTATACGGTACAAGTAGGGTTGATATGCTACAAATAGATTTAACTTTTCCCTTAAAAAAAAAAAATTATGTGCCCTACTTCCTTCAATTTGCATCATTCCCTGTTTTTACATCTTTCTGCCAAAAAATAATAACCTAGATTTCAACATTTGAAATGTACTTTTGAGCCGTTTAAAGATTTTTCTTAAAGTTCTCTCTGTGTTCTGCTAATATGCAGAGAAGGATGTATATGGACCTGCTCACTTATTCCGTGCATACATTAGTGCTAGAGCAGAAGGACTTCCTAGGAATTCCTGAAATCTGCCTTAAGATTTTGTTTCATCATAAAGTCTTAAGAACAAACTCAAAATATATAGAGAACCTAAGAAGCAATAGATTCATGTTACATATCCTTGAGAAACAGCCATGAATTCAGGAGAATATTTCATCTTGCGCAGAAACAAGAAACACCTAAGAAATTTGTTGGCTTTGCTAGACTGACATGAAACCGAAGGCAGCAACATTCAAGAGGAGCAGCAGCATAAGAGGAGAGTGTAATATGTCAGTCTGCAACACAGAACTAGCCCATGGAACTGGCACAATTACTGCGATGGCAATTATACAAAATCTACTGTATCTTACTGTCCTATCGCTATTCACTGGTGTTTTGTTTTGTTTATTGAAGTTTATTAAGGTCCCGAGTACCATTCACCCTGGAATTATATTCGAAGTTATGCTCAACAAATGGAAGCTACCTGCTCCCAATTTGGTTGTCTCTTTAGTGGGGGAAGAAGAAAATTTCCAGATGAAGCCTTGGCTACGGGACACCTTAAAGAAAGGACTTATAAAGGCAGCTCAAAGCACAGGTTAGTGCTTTAGGTGTTAAAGAAGGAATTTGTGTCCCTGCTGGATTCTCACACCTAGCATCCAGCAATCTGCTAATGTCAATGGATTTGCTCACAATTTTTTGAAATTCAAGACTTTGCTGAATACAATCTACAACCTGTCTGTAAGTAGCTTTGAAAATTGAAGTGATTGTATTATAGGAGCAAAAATAAGTTATTTTGAACCAAATTACTCTAGACAATCATTCCTGAAGTGTAAAATTACCTGACATTATTCCCTCAGAGATGAGACTAGGCAGATAGCATAAGATAGGACCAAATACATTGTCCCTCTTTGGTGCCATAACAAAATAATTCTTAAGAGAGCAGAGCAATTTGACTTCATTAAGAGTGAATTTAGGTCAAAAATAAGAATTCTTGTGTTCTTCATTCTCACTTTTTAGCTACCAGTCAAAATCATGTTACAGCCATTTTTACTTCTTGAAATCTTGTTTTTTTCAAAGCTAAGAGTTGAATAGACTTTATTAGTCAAACTGCCTATGATTAAACTCAAGATTAACAAAAAAACCTTATTATGCATAACACAAAGTAAGTCAGCTCACTTTCTCCCTGGTTGTTTACATGAATTATGAGAGTAGTAAAAGCATTTAAAAACTAAACCAAACCCTCCAATGTCTGGGAACAAGCATGGAAGTGACTTTCATGTAAGATGACCTTTTTTTCTCTCCATAGCTTTATGAAAATATGTGCAAAACAAAGTGAAAATATCTGTGAGCATTTCACAGCAATCTCTTCGTTTAGCCACTGTTCCAGACAAGATTGTAACAGTTTTGCTTTTTGTAATGACCAAAGCCCAGTACCAAAGCTCATTTTGGTACTTCTGTGCCACACAGATATTCTCTAGCTCAATGTGTCTTCTGTACTTAAGACTGGACAGCATCAAGATCTCCAGTCTCTTTATGTTACATATTTGAAAAAAGCCAGCTAGCTGTTTACCTAGGGTGTTCATGATTCCTTGCCACCCTTACAACACTGCTCTAATATAGTATAAACTCTAGTCTCCTAAAGAATTCACTCTCTACACACACAAGAACTAGAGAAATAGAAGTCCAGATTAACCAGGTTATGCCCAAGCTCTTCTGCTCAGAGGTGATTATACAGGATTGCTTAACTGTTGGTTCAAGCCAACAACTTCCCTCACTCCATCCCTTTGCTCTACCTCGTACAACAGTCAGAACTGCCTCGTACAGTGATGTTTCTGCTCATGTTTAGACAGTGAGTGACTCTAGAGTGGACACAGCACTCTTAATGAGCTTATTAATATCAGAGTAAAGATGGCAGCATTGCATCATGTGACATGTGAAGAATGTTTTCTTGGGCATATAATTTCTTCTTTTTTTCCTTATTAAAGCCTTAGGTATTTTGTATGTATTTTAATTCTAAAAGTTATAGTTCATCAAGACCTGTCTTCACTTTATCCACCTAAAAAAAAAAACCACCTTAAATATGGTACTGCAAGTAATGTTACTTGTCACACAAACATGTTCAATTACAAAGAAATTATCTAACTGTTTTTAAAAAATAATTTCAGGTGCCTGGATTTTTACCAGTGCTTTACGTGTAGGAATAACAAGACACTTAGTGCAAGCAGTCCGAGATCTTGCACTGGCTAGCACTTCATCCAGAGCGAGCGTGATTGCCATAGGAATAACTTCACTCAGAAAAATTCAGCACAGAGAAATTCTGGACAACACAAAGGTACTTTTCACTCATTCTACTTGTGAAACAGATGTATAACCTGCACGCTTACAAAATCTGGAAGTAGTTGGAAGAACAACTTTGATATAACTGTAAAAAAAAAAAATAGGGTTTTAAACTGTGTTTTGAAAGAAAAAAATAAAGAGTAAGAAGGATTTAGAACCAAAGGGTTCTGTGCCCTATGCGTTCGGTGCACGCTGCAGCGATTCCAGAAATATCCAGCGGATGGCAGCATTAGACATTAGCGCAAGGATGAACGTCAGGAAAAGGGCACTGGAATAAAGTACCTTCAATGTTTTTTTCCCCTATTCACTTACTGCGGGATCACTTACTCCAAATTATTATATAAATACTGTAAAAAGCATGTTTTCTGTTATGGAAAGCCAGACATAAGTATTCTAAGACAAGGTTTTCTTAAGTAGCAGCTGAATTGGTGTTTAGTATGCAAAAACCTGCACAATGCACCAGGCCAAAAATACCAGCCATGCAGGATTTCGCCCAGTTATTGGGGGCTCTAGGGACTTCTCAACTGGTGTAACAGAAATCAAAGTTCTTGGGAAGAAAAAAACAAAATCAAAACAAACCAACAAATAATAAAGCCTCACCCAACAAAACAGTTATTGGAAGTGTTAATGCTAAATTGACCTGGAAGTGGAGAAACAAGAAAAAGTAGCATTACCTTTTTGTCACTGGGGATACAGTCTGTCTTAAGCAAAATATTATAACAACAAAATAGGTGTGTAATAACAAAGAATGACAGTTTCTCTGCACAATTTTACTTCCCTGCAGAAGCTAAGAAACAAATGACAAAGGCAGCCCTTTGAACTCACACCTAGCTGCTCTTTCAGAAAGGCCTACAAGTACCAACTAGCAGCTGGGAGACTGCCAGCCCATATCAGTGATCTATTGTAATTGGGCTTCCCCTTTTTTCATCTTTTTTTGCCAACGACAGCCACCTGTGTGTTCCACGAGGTGGGACTCTTTAGCTGCAGGACTTTAACCTATTTGTGTGGCTGAACTGATCTGAAAGGACCTCAGAGGAAAGAATTTGTTTCATTATGTTTGTGTATTTTTCTCAGGAAAGTTGCTTTGGCAAATGCAAACTATTTCACCTCCCTCCTAGGTTATGTGATCAAAATGCATCTGCGTCTTTCCCAATCAGCACCTACAAAACAAGTGCACTGGTTTTTCTAATTGCATTAGATTTTCTCTCCCTTAACTGAAGCCCAAATTCTTTGGCAAGGAATATTTTGTAAAGAGCGTTCCTGACCCTATGACTTCTGGCACAGCTTCTACCCTAAAACATTTTGGATTTTAGTCAGTAACTCTAAGACAAAGGAACTACAGACAGGGATGTTGATCTAAACCCAACTCACTTTATACTTGGCACTAACACAAGCAGCTTGTTGTATAAAATAAAGCTAACAATCCACACTAGCAAGGAGAAAAACAAGCCCTGAAATCAGTTGATCCCTCCTGCCTCTTCTGTGTTAACGGTGTGCCTTAAACATCACTGAAACATCACTTCCACATTTTCAGAGAATAAATAGGAAAATCCCCAAGGACCTTTTTCAATTGTTTGTTGTGCCTCTGGGTCCTAGTCAAAGGCCAAATCTTCAGTGAGTAGGCTTAATGTTACATGGCAGCAGAACATAGGCACACCCTCTGTCAAAACAAAAAATCTGAAGGAAATTAATTGTATCAAAAAGCTTTCCCCAACAAATGAGAGACAGAGAGAAGGAAGTAAAAGAAATCTGTGGCACTTGCTGTTTGTAAAGGACGTGAAAGTTTACTGCTGCTTTTCCTGGAACAGCCTCTGATTTTCCTACTCTTCCCAGAGCTGCTGACAAGGAAAGAAGCCATAGGAAAGTGCCTGATAATAGCCCTTTTCACCTTGTTTTGAAGGAGATTTCTCTGCTCCGGTTTGACTCTATGCAGCTTCATTTCGGAAAGCGACGTAGGAGCATGATGTGCATGTGCAGCATGAAGGAGCTTGTCCTCTGGGTTGCTTCATGTTTTTATGCATTAGTAGTGCTGCTATGGGCTCTTGCACCACCTCTTCAACATCAGCCTTAGTCTTGTCTGTGGAGAACATGGATAACTCCTGGGTTGGACTTTTCCCAGGATTCAACTGGGCACCTCCTCCTGTATCAGATGCTGCCAACAGCTGAGATTGAGGAAGGAAGGCCCTTCATAAGACCTGGCTCTTAAATACTTGAATGTAAATCTCTCTGCCATACCTTAATGACAGCTGGGTTACCTGTGTAGTTACACTGCTATGTTCTCAAAAGGATTTGACACCTGTCTGTGCCCACACAATTAGGGAGAGGAAAATGCAATACAGTCACAATAGTCAAGCTGACAGTCTGAGTTTTGCTCATCAGCTCAAGGCTGCAGGAATTGGAAACAGGCATGATAGAAGGAAATGCTGATTTTAAACAGTTGTTTTAATCTGACCTACTTGCAAGAGGGCAGTAATTATGAAAATGAAGAATAATAACCAGGCATTTACAGTCTGGCTTGCAGCTAGAATGAAGTATCAAAGTGAATGTGCAACAGTAGGAAAGAAAGATGTATTAAGAAAGTAAGGGGAGCTTGAAAAAGTATGTGTATGGAAGACATATGTAGTGCAATCCTTAGAACAAAAGACTAGCAGGGGTTCTGTTTTACCTAGACGGATTTTATGCCAAAAATCACTAATAAATAATTAAAAAAATCACACTTCTCACCCAAAATAAAAGATAAGAAGACTTCACTTTCTAAAGTCTGTCACTCACTCTTTTAGAATACAATTTCCAAACTGAAAATAATGATTAAACTTCATATAAACCTGTCAATTAAATACAGCAGCATTTAAATTGCTATGGACATGTGGCAGGCTAACTTATCTACTGGCCTAAACATGGACAAAATGCTACTGTAACTAATAGGTTTGCCCTTCTTTATACCATCTGAGGCTTTACAGCTCCATCCTCAATTACGGGTTCTCGTGGCCCCTTTCCATTTGTCCAACAGACATTTCCAAAACCTACATTCTAGAGATGGTGACTGATGTCACTATATTTTGCAGAGGCCAAGAGGGAAACTCCAGGGACTTCAGTTCTCAATCCTGTCAAATTTGGCCCCTCTCAGAAGAAGCATATTCTCCTCTACCCTTTTTCAAGAGTCTACTCAAGTGTCTCACAGGTGGTGTGGTATCTCAGGGTGTGTGCAGCACAGAAATGGAGATCAAGCACATTAAAACAAGGACTGGGTTTTGCGGAGAACAATAATGTCTCTCCTCCTCTCTTCAGAATGAAAGTCTTGTACACTATCAATCAGATGATGATATTCGAGGCCCACCATATTCCTTGGACCACAACCATTCCCATTTTATTTTGGTGGACCATGTAACACCAGATGAGCCAGATGGAACCACTAAGCTACGTTTCGCCTTGGAAAAGCATATTTCAGAACAGCGCACTGGATATGGTGGTACGTAGGTTCTATATAGGCCTGCTAACTTGAGTGATACTGACATAACAGTGATACCTGTGGGGCCCTGGCCTTATCAAAGACAAGTCCAATTCCCAAACTGGACAATTGCCTGCATAGGCAAGATCAAGTAAACACACTTGTCATTATGTAAGAGGCAGAACTTTGGTAACTTCTGAAGCAGAAAAAGCTGCTCTTTGAACCAAAAATCTGGACTTTTATTGCATCTCCTTAAGTGTAGCTCAAAGCTGATCTTCAAAGCATAGCTCAAATTACCTTAAACACAACAAATGGAAAATAAATCCAGCTTCAAGTGCCTTAACCATTGGTTCTAAGAGATTGATATTCATTGTAGTATACTTTTATCCCCTCTCACACACAAGGTGCTCCCACACTGGAAAAAAAGACTTGTTCTAAAGCCCTCTGAAATATTTTAAGCCATATTTATTTCAGGATAAAACATTACCCTGGGTAAATACTGTAGTGGCTAATGGCCATCTGAATGTATGTGACCTTTGTTTATAATAAGAGCTGAGTGTTGGGCAGGTCTACTACTGCTATTTGTGTAAAGAATTCAGTTGCAGCACTAATACAATTACTTTTGCCTCTCCTTTGTTTCTGTAATACCTGCAGTGCTAGCACAGCTGAAACGGAAGGGAGAGCACACTTATTCACAGCTGTATGCATCAGTGGAATATTCCATTACACAGCCCAGAGTATGGTTGCACAGATTTACCTGAGACCATGAATGCACGTGAAAAATACTTATCTGGTGACTCACATAGGAAAGACCACAGGTGGGCTGTAAGGGTAGGCTGAGGTTGCAGTGCTGAGAATTACAAAATAGCCTCTTTTGGCTTGCAAACCAAATCTGATTGAACAAATCTCAGTGGAACAATATTCTGACAAAGAATGCTGATTCATATGACAAATATTTCACTGGAACATACTGAATTCAGCGTTATCTTCTATAAACAAAACCGATGTCATTCATTTAAGCTCATTTATATACAAGCTGAGCAAAGCTATGTGACTTTACTGAAGTAAAACACTTTATTAATGTCATGCAGAATTTCCCTATTTTAAATAACACCCAGAAATCTTTTAGAGGAAATTTTTAAATACACTAAATATTCTTTGCAATTAAGGACTTTCCACCTTCCCAGCATAATGTCAGAATACACCGGCCACTCCTCTGGCTAAATTTTATCTAAATCTATAGTAAATGAAGAATATTTGAAGACTTAATCATACCTTGAGGAACGTGTAGTCACAGAGGCCACTCTTCAAAGAACATCACCTTAGGGAGGTATGACAGTGCTATGCCATTCACTAAAACAAACTAGGTTACTTGCCATTCTCATGCTGGCTACAGCTCAGTTCAACATCATCTCTTGTAGTCATCCCACAAGAGACAAAACAAGAAGTAAGAGGTCTGTACAGATTTCTGGGAGATCTACAAAGGGAAACATCAAAAAAATGTTTGGACCAAATGCCTTTTATCTTCCAGCTGAAAGAGGCATTCATCTCATGATGCTACTGTTTTAATTGAGCTCCTTCAGGCAAATCTATGGTCACCTTTGGATTACAGAGTACAGCATTTACAGTATAAACCATCTAAAAATACATGGGCCTTAGGACTGGGATGCTGACCTCATTTCTGCTGCCATGACATATTAAATATTTCATTAACATTTCTTTTAAAAGTATCCAATTATGTTATTATTAATCACCACACTAGACTGTGCTGAATGAAATTTTAAGCTGTTTAACTGGAATAATAAGAAGTATATGGTTCCTCTCAAATCATATCTGACTCATCTCATCGTAGCTGGGCTACACAATCAGCCTCTTCATATTCTTAAATCCTCCTTTTATAAGGCTTTTCTCCTGGATTCCACTACACTTTCCAGCACACACATAACACCAGGGATGAACTGACAGCTTTTCACTTCTAACTGTATCTTAATACAGTTAATAATGGTAGCTGCCTCTCTGAAAACATAACAATCTTGTCCTGCACCCTAATGCAGTTCCATTACTCCATAACCTGATAGCCTTGCAGTAAATAAATAACATAAAAATTCAACAGTGGTATGACACACAGAAATGCCAATATCCATATTGTGCACTGTCTGATAGGTGACAGTGTCATTCTCTTCCTTTCCCGTTTGCTTCTGCAATTGCCTGCCTTCTGCAGGTTCGTGTAGGCACCAAAACAGCACGGAAGAGGACAAGTATTTTTGAGGGGTCAGCAAAACTGCAATAGCTTTGTGAAAGCCGCTAACCTTTCTAAAAATGAAACCATCTATTTCACAGGAACGGGTAGCATTGAGATCCCTGTGCTTTGCTTATTGGTAAATGGAGGACCAGGCACACTTGAGGTAAGAAGCTGTTTTCAACTTTAGAAAAATAAATTAACTGGTGCCAAGTAATTAATGGAAGATTTGGCTGGATGATAAACATCTGTTGGCACTTTACATAAAGTCAAATTTCACATCTATACACCATTAAGAACTGAGTTCTGTTAATATTAAATTTGCCAGTATTTGTTTGGGAGAAATATTTCCTTCTGAATAAGAACGAGGTGATCATTAAGGTTTCCACTGCCAGCTTGTACAGTGGGAAGAAAGAATCCAAAACCAAAACAAACTCACAGAAACCAGCTCCAGTTCTAGTGAAACAGAAATACCGTGCTATTGCTTGAGAACACATACAAAAAAGAGATGAATCGTTCAGTGCTGTCCAGCAACAATGAGACAACTGCCTGTCCCAGAGCTCAGAGGAAGTACAAGACCAGGTTTGCTAGGCATGCCATTTAAAACAATAGTGTCCTGGTCCCACTGAGCAAAAGAATGTTGTAGGATAGAAGACTGGAGTGTTGTCTACTAGCAATCCCAAATCTTATCCAGCGAAGGATCAGATTGAATTTTTTTCCTGAGTAGTTCTACAACTTAAAGAGCCTGTTAACGAGGAGATACTCTTTGATTTCTGTTTTACTTTTTTTTGTTTTAATAATACTCTCTGCCTACAGTACCTTTAGGGAGACATAATTTAACCATAATTTAAAGTTTTCAAGTGATGAGACTGTGCCATGCAAGCTGGTAACCTCTTTCAGAACAGCAACTGATTTCTGGTGATTTTTTCTGATTTCAGCCTCCAGTCCCTGTGTCTTGTCATAACTTTGTCAGTTTGACTAAAACAAACACTGGTATTAAAAATCTCACTGTTTAAACTAGGATTGTGTCACCTCTTGAGCTTCCTTTCTAGAAGCTAAATATTGCAGTGTTTCCTATATCTTTGGATTAGAACAATCACATATTATTACATATAAATCCTCCGTTCAAAGTTTTAGAGAACAACGTGACTTGGAGACCAAAGGTGACTGGCTGAAGTTGCTGGAAATCTGCTGGGAAGGGATAACTGGTCACACTTGTTTAGAACATCAATTTTTTTAAATACAAGTTACATGATGCACACCAAAGACTATAACAGTTTTATAAAACTCAAAAAAACCCTCAACACCAAAATTAGAGAAAAAACCCTGCACCACAAGTGAATCAATTGAGTCTTGCATAAGTCCAGAGGAAGAAATAGACTGGCAGCAAATAGTCATTGTCGCAATTATGATGCCATGGTCTCTGCTTTCTTCTCTCAGCAACCTGCCTGACTCATTCTAATTGCACAAGTAACAGAATTAATAGCCTTCAACTCTTGTAGTTGCTATGATTCAGTGTTTTTTTCTGTAGCCCAATGTTTTATTCCCACAGGCAAATTCCTTACTTTCAGCACATCTTTGCCAGGTGTAGCAGGCAGAAAAGGATGCTACAGCAAAAAGCCTGCTAGTAATTTCTGTATAGGGCTACTCTTACACTTGAATATGCTGAAACACAGACTTCAGGGGGGAAAAAAATTCGAGGTCAAAGAAATTGTATGCATTGTTTGTCCAAATCAGGTTGCTTAGCTACCCAGCAGATGTGTCATGAAAGGAAGCCTAGTCAGGGGCCTATACATGGATGACCTGCTACAGAATCTGAAAAATCATAATAGCTTAGAGGATTGGACTGATTCCATAGTGAATCTGGTTTAAATACACATTCACTCCTAGTTTGCTAGAAGTCCTTCTTTTGAATAACATTTTCTTTCCATATGTGAATTCTGAAAATGTACTTTTTAAACTACAGAGAGTCTGCAGCGGTTTGGAAAATTCTGCTCCCTGGCTTATCTTAGCGGGGTCTGGAGGCACAGCTGATATCTTAGCTGAATTCATGAATGACCCACAGCTTATCATGCCAGAAGCTGTTGAAAAGCAATTTAAGGAGAAATTCCCTGCAGAAAGCTTCTTGTGGAAGGACATTCTTCAGTGGACGCTAACAGTGAGCTCTCCTAACATTTGTAGCTTTGGTAGCCTGCTCAGTACAGGTTTGGCAAGAAGCTGCTCGGAAGTTTTGGGTACTCCAGTGCTGTGACACTGGTGCTACAGGATACCCCTCTAACATAAAAATCAAGTGGTCATTTGATCATACAAACTACTTCATTATCCTAACGATTCAGCTGAACACTTAGGGCTCTGTCCTTCATCAATTATTTCCACAAGTAACAGCCAGCACCCAGGAACTCCACAGTCCTTCTGCAGGACATGAAGCATTATTTATATCCACAGCTGTGGAGCTTGTGCAGCTGTTACAGAAGAGACCTAATTCATGATCTACAGCTGTTAAATGGAAACCTAGCTGTGGATAAGCATGAATAAATTAAATAGAATGAAGCGTGTTTAGAAATTATCCTATCTATTGTCAGTTGCTTGCTCTTAAAATATTATTATTCTTAAAAAAGAAGGACAAAACAGATTCACAGATCTTCCTTACTCTTTGTCTTGAGGTTGCTGGACTTAAACTACTGTGCCTAAGTGTTTTAGAAACAAAAAAACACTTTGAAATCATATTTATATGGAAAACTTAAGAGCATTGTGTGCCTCTGTGATAAACTAAGTTTACCTGACCTGGTCTGCTACTTATTCTTTGCAGTACCTGCTGTAATCCTTAGCTTTAAAGTTTAAAAGTTCCACATACTAATTCATTAGGAAGACCTTTGCCAGATTACTAACAAAAGGGGATGAAAGGCATATAGAAGCAATGTTGCCAGATGCTCAGAAAGTCTCAGTGCAGCTGCACTGTGAGAAAGAAAACTCAATAAATAGAAAAGCAGAAGGAAAGAGAAGCCTGCTGAATATATCAATATTTGAGAACTTCTACTCATAGAAGAGTTAGAGACTATGCTTTTAAATAAACAGCTCTGAGAGCAAAACTTAAATGTCAAATCAGAATGAGATAAAACAAAACTGGCTGGCTATAGCATGACTATGAGTCAAATAAGAATGTGAGTTAAGGAAGGATCTTTTAATTAAAGCACTGCTCTGGTTCTCAGCATATTCACATTCTGATTCATCCTATCCTGCTAAGTGACTTCGAAAAAGGCAGTAACTCCCTCCTTGCCTTAGGACTTATTTATATATGGGAAACTATTAATGTTCTGTCTTCTTGCCAAACCTCAGTTTTACAATTAGAATGTAAGTTTTTGGGAAGTAAGGCCTGGGTGATCTTCACTGGGCTCTTGGGCACTAATATATAGCAGTAGGATGATGTGTAAAATGGCTTTTGTTTCCACTCCCAACAGATTCAAAATATTGTTTCACACCAGCATCTTTTAACTCTGCACAGTTTTGAGCAAGAAGGTTCAGAAGAACTGGACACAGTCATTTTAAAAGCTTTAGTAAAAGGTAAGAACAGTAAAAACAGCACAGTGTAATATTTGTTTTATTTGACTTCTTCTATGCCATAAGTATAGTTCACTTTTTTTCCAGTGCAAGTTCAGTTGGCTGTTGGATCAGATTTCATTTCTTATGCACTGTTCTTTTGTTTGTTTATTGACAAATTAACTATGGCAGTTACCGTATCTCTTGTAACCTTGCTGTAAACTACTGTTTGCTTTTAAATCTCATGATATTGTATAATACTAGTTTAATTGCTCCTTTATTTCAACACTTGCTTCTGGTAGTAGTAGAGGTTCCAGAAGAACTGAAATATATCTGAGCGGCATATTTTCCAATTACAAACCATTTTAAAAAATCCAACAAGAAAACAAAAACAAAAGACAAGAATGGCCTTAGTTCCAGAAATAATCCATTTCTCCTATAAGAAATCTCCTCTGTATCTTCTGGAAGAAGACATTACTAGTGCTGCCTCCTATTTCAGTTTCTGTCACTGTAATGGTTTTTGTTAGCCTAAATTTAGCAGGGAAGGGGGAGGGGAGACAATCTATTCCTACTGTGCTAATTGAAACAAGGCAGAAACAACAGCCAGTCCTGTCCCCTGCTTTCTACAGGCCAGGGTCCTTCTTAAAATTGAACAGCCATTTAATCTTAATGGTTTAATAGAAAATTCTACTAGAAAAAAAATAGTATCTTTTAATATTAATATTTATTAATTTAGGGAAAAAACACTGTGAAGACTTCCTGGCTAAGCAACTCACAGATTTGTGATAGCTGAAGGAGAGCTTGTATTGCTAATCAAAATACCAATACTATATTAAATGAAACATAAGTGTAAAGTACTGAGTTTATTTGCCTTTGCTATTTTTGCCAGCCTGCAAAAGTCAGAGTCAGGAGGCCCAAGAGTATCTGGATGAACTGAAGCTGGCGGTGGCCTGGAATAGAGTCGATATTGCTAAAAGTGAAATATTCAATGGTGACGTGGAGTGGAAGGTACCAGGTTTTATTGTCTTACAGGACAATCAGTGTATAATCCAATGTGTACAGGACAATGGAACATCCCAAAATACGGCCTCAGTTTTTAACACTACCTTACTGCACGCTCCACTAAGAGACTGGGTAGCAGTAGTATGCTTCCTGAGGCTGCTTGTCTTTAGGGTCCCCTATATAAAAATGACTAAGTACAGAGGAATAATTCAGCAGTCATGATCTCTTTCTTGAGCTCCTTGGGGGCAAGAATCTCTCTCCCCCTTCTGTAATAGGTCTTTAAAGCAAACAAACCAAAGTTTAAAAGCAGAAGAACAGGAAGATATTACTTTAGAGAGGTGGTAGGAAGAACGTCACTGTTTTCAACTACTGTATAAATACCCAGTGCAATGGGCACCCAACATCACCAGAATTCCTACAGCAGGCTACTTGTGCTGATGTTTGAACATTAATGCTGACACAGACATTTTATCACAGAGAAATCAAGACAGTTCTACCTCTTTCTCATTGTACCCACTGTTGACCTGGTGGAAGACAAAATGCGCATGTCCCCGTGTTAAATCTTACCTCTCTTGTCATCCAGCCACGATTACCCCAAAAAACTTACTTGTTTGTTTTGTTGGTTTTTTTCTCCATTCATCAATGTAGTCCTGTGACCTGGAGGAAGTGATGATGGATGCTCTGGTCAATGACAAACCAGAATTTGTAAAATTATTTATTGACAATGGGGCTAACATATATGAATTCCTGACCTACAGTCGTCTGCAGCGACTCTACTGTTCCATTTCTCAGAAATGTCTCCTCTATGAACTTCTTATGAAGAAGCATGAAGAAAACAAGCTGACCTTGGCAGGGCTCACTGGTCAACACGAAAATGAGCAGAAGGAGATCTCCCCACTGTTCACTCTCAATGAGGTCTCTAGAGTTCTCAGGGATTTTCTTCATGATGCATGCAAAGGTTTCTATCAAGACCTCAGACACGGAGGCAAGAAAAAATCTGTGAGTCACAACTTCACGTCATAGTTCTGTTCTACTCCAATTTACAATTTGAACAATCTTAACTACACCTAGCCTTTGCAGGTAGGGCAGGGAAGGAAAGGGAAGATGACAGAATAGTCACTTCAGTTTCTCATTCTTTTTTTCAGTCAATATTATAACATTTGAGATGGTTTGATATTTTAATTTCAAAATTAAAAAGGAAAAGAAAGTAATTTCTAAAATAGATTGTTATGCCTCTTTCTCCCCCTCTACACGTGGGGTTTTATGCAAGGTTTCACTGTACCTTGAATTACTGCTAAGATGTAGCCTTTGTTTCACAATCTACAGAGACCCCTGTATTTCACACACTCACTTTTTATTAGACATGGAAATAGTCTGCATTTCTGATATAGAACTTCAAGCAGAAGTATTTGAAAGGCAGTATTTTCCAGGAGAAAGAAAAGCAGGCAATGGGCATTTTCAGTCCCAGGTCTGAAAATGGTAATCTTTATATGTGAAACTAGTCCCAGCTTTATACTGTGTATGAGTGGACTAAATATTCAACAATATGCAGTTGTCACGGGTTTGCCTTTAGAGCATTATAGTCTTGTTATACAAGTGACATAACACACAGCAAGAAGTAAGAATGATTGTGTGAAGTGGCCCTGGCTAGCACGCTGGCCAACACGTGACAAGGATAACATGATATGGGTACATCTGTGGAATGTCTGTAGTCCACAACTGTGCCCTAGATACATCATCATTTTTGCATTTTGACAGTATATTTAATATTGAAGCTCCTAAGTAACAAAGTTCTTGAAAAAGCATCGAAAATAAATTTGGATGCATGATTTCAAAACAAAGACATATAGAGAAATTTCATTAATATTTAGTTTTAGACAAACTAAACAATTAAGCCATTTGGTATTTGCCAATTCTAATTGCATCTTAAAACTGTTAAAATGAAAAACTGTTTAAAAAAAATGCTCACTCAAGAGCTTAAATCACTTTTGTTTTGTAATCACTAAATTAATTAGTAGTATGAAAAGGTAGTTTTAATCTAGTCAGGGTTTCCTCATTCTCAAGGACAGACAACCTGGGACAACACCTCTGCAGTCATTAAGAAGACTCCAGCTTTACAAATTTTACAGAAATAAAAGTTTGCCCCAGAATCGCACTTGCCTTTCTGGCATTTTGCAGTAAGTGAGCTAAGGCCAAGTGCTGTAAATAAGGCCCAGTTCAGATATCAGATCATGCCCTCTAGTAGCTTTTTTCCTTTAAAAGCTTCTTCACATGGCTGCTTCCCAACAGTGGCTCAATCCAGCTAGCATTGGCAACAGCACTGGCACACCGGGGTCACTGCTGCTGAACTGTGCATGTTGTTTCAATTTAGGAGCTAGTCATTACAAAGACAGGTGAGAATTTTAGGATATCTTTGTCACCTGCAAGATTTTCAATGCAATTCAGTTTATTAAATAGCTCACTACAAACTGAAAAAATCCACCCCTGACCCCCCCAAAAAATGCCGTTAAAATAAGTCTGAAGAGAATTCCATAATTCAAAAACTATATTCTCACAAAAAACTTCTTTTATTAAGAAGAAATCTACTCTGACTGCTTCAAATTCACACAACAGATACAAAGGCAGTTTTAAAAAAATACTTAAAACTCAGAACTTGACCTAAGTGGCTACACTTCCTCTGGACAATTTTTTATCAAGTGCTAAAGGAAGGAGCAGTGTTCTACTTAAACTGCTCCCTGCGCAAGTGAAAGGTTTCTCAAAGGAATGCCTAAAAAGGGGTATTGACGTACTCTGCTCTTGCACTGTACAGGGCCTGGGCGAGATTTATTTCTGTTGAAATCAAATGCCTTTTGTTCCCTTTTCTCTGAAACCATGTCCTCTGTGGCAATCAAGCAGAGTCAAATATAATTGAAAGCAAGCTCAGATTAGTTAATCGCAGGTTTGTCTTGTATGATATTACACACTAGCGGCGAAACCCCGGCCTTAATAAAGTCAATGAGAACTTTACCATCGGCTTCAGTGGAGTCACTATTTCATCCAGAATGTTCTCACACGTATTGAGTTATATAGGGGACACAAGGGTCCTTTGACTTAGTACAGAATGAGCTAATTACCACTTAGTCCTACAGAAAAGAAAAAAAAAAAATCAAAAGAAGAAGTAACTGGCAAGGCCAAGAGCAGCTTAGATCATGTCATTTGCATGGAATGAGGCTGCAAAGCACGTTTTAATTTCTACAAACCATATTTCAGGATAAAATGAATACAAAGCGATTACCTGGACCCTTGGATATGAACCAGAAAAGTGAAAATCCTTGGAGAGATTTGTTTGTATGGGCAGTACTTCAAAACCGGCACAAGATGGCAAACTATTTCTGGGCTATGGTAAGCTTTGAGCTGTAGCTGCTCCAGGTGAAACATTAACATATTTCAAGTTTACGAGACCTTTTTTTGCTCAGCCTTGCAGCTCAGATGACAGATAGGTTTGTTTCCAAAATACGAGAGGTAGCGTTTATAGGGCTTTTCATCTCTGCATGGCTCATGCCAGTGAGGGCCAGAGGGTCTGATGGAGGGAGGGCAGAGCAGCAGCAGGTGTAAATCAGCACAGCCTGAACCTCTGCTGCAGAATCAGCCCTCCCTTCCCTGCTCCTGATGACTCAACACTCTCAGGCGCAGATTTTGTGCCTTCAACAATAGGCCAATTGATTGGGTCCAAGCGTGATGGGAGGGAAGACGGTGCAGTGAAGCATCCTTAGCTTACGTGCTCTATGTGTAGGAAACAACAGCATCATGCTCTCAAAGGCTGAACTTCAAGCTGGCATAATTGGCTGCTGTTTTACAACCCTCCACAACCGAGGCCCTGTCTCCTGCATCTGGGAGCCTCCCTGCCCCCACAGAGTGAGATAACTATCAGACTCCCATCCCTGATCTTCCAGAGGAGTGCATCTGGCGTGGGGAGAGTCATGGGGAGGGACAAACTGCAGCACAGCTCTTCGGGCTGCGAGTGTGTGTGCGTGTGCATCAGCACCTTGCAGGGCCTCGTGCTTGTGGAGCCCTGTGACCAGAAGGCACGTCTCTGCTTTGTGCCACTGTTGTGCCTCTGCCAGCTGTGCTCCCTCCTTTCTCTTCATCCTTATGCAGGGTCTCAGCACAGCCATGCTGGAGATATCTCAGCACTGTGAGACTGTATTGCTCTATTTCTATAGCACATTATTCTCCTTTCTAGTCTTTGACTGCTGTCCCAAATCAGGCCTCTGTAAGAGCCTGGACCCAGAAGTCTCCAGCCTTAGAAGGCAGAAGAACTACCAATACAGAATCATAGTATTTTGGGTTGAAAGTGACCTTAAAGATCAACCAGTGCCAACCCCTCTGCCATGGGCCCTCCCACTAGACCACTTTGCTCAATGCCCCATTCGACCTGGCTTCAAACACTGCTAGGGGGAAAACATCCAGAATATGTGGTTTTCAATTCTCAATCACAAAAACTGTCATTTCAGTCAGCATTCTGGACTTTCAAAGTCCAGATTTTTGAGGGAAAGTTTTGAGGGAAAATTTTTCTTGGGAGGGGAAATATGTATGAATTTTTTGTTGTTGTTGGATGTGCTCCTTAGTGGAGTCTCCCCCATTCAAAAAATGCCCTCCAGTGAAGCACTCCTTTCCATTCTACAGGGGCAGGAGGGTGTAGCTTCAGCTCTGGCAGCCTGCAAGATCCTTAAAGAAATGTCCCGCCTGGAGACCGAGACCAAAGCAGCCTGTATAATGAAAGAGGCCAAGTATGAGCAGCTCGCTGTCGGTAAGTAATGGCATCTTTTGAATGGCATAGAAAATTTAAGATGGAACTGCCATTGGAAGGCAAGCAAGTGAAAAAAAATACTGTTTGAGTTTTAAAAGGTCAACTCTCATGAATAATTTAACAGCCTTGCAGCACAGGCAGTCCCAAACATTCAGATACCACAGAAAGACTAAAAACCCAATCATTTTGGAAAAATCACTGATCCAAGACTGGCCCCTGGGATGCATGGAAGAAATTACTCTCCTCTGCTTGTTGATATTTTAAGTGTCTGATCTTAGTACAAGGTGTGTTACAGTGCTGTGGAAGACAGAATAACCAAAATGCTTCCAGGCTCACAGCAGCCTGGTTTTCCTGCAATATCAAGCTCGCTCTGTAAGGGCCACTAAAGCAACAAGTTTTAAGGTTTGTCATTGCTGCTAAAAATAATTTGAGATTACCTCACCCAGAAGAGGGCTAACTGCACTGCAAACTGCAGTGAGGCTCAGACTGGTTTTGCAGCAGACAAGCTGCCCCTCCCTGCAGCAGTAAAACATCCAGGCATCTGCAATGCCGGAACGCCGAGCCCTTTCCCCTTTGCCTGGTTTAGAAACAGATGTCTGCACACAACCTTCTCTGCTGATCTGACTTCAGTCCAACTCGTACCTGAGGGTAGAACTGCTGTGAACAGAGGGCTTTAAAAATATGCCACACACTAACAAACGCAGAGGCTCCTCTCCCTTGAAGCTTGTACATCAAGCAGCTGAAGGCTCATGCAGGCGTTGCTACAGTATTTATACACAGATCACATTTTCCCTTCTTGTCACAGGGCCATTATTATTTACAAAAATTAAGAATCAGGTTCTCGTATAATCACAGGACTCAAGTAATTTAGTCGTGGAATTACAGGGCCTAATCCAGGAGTCTGCTCCTTGGCTTTGATAAGTATTAGATCAGATCCTCAATTTTAATTTCTGGCCTGGATAATGCTGTCAATATTACATAAACAAACTTTCTTTAAGAATGATAAATACCACATCAACTCCAAAAGTTGTCTGTATATCGGCTTATTTCAAGTGCACTTGATCCTTTCTCCACCCTCACAGTGTAACAAGATGTAGGCTGGCTTAGGTACTGAGATAATCAAGTGAATCAGCAGAATGAAACAGACACAAGAAGCCAGATCTTGGCCAATGAGTAAATCGTGACTTTTTTGGACTGTTTATCCTAGTTTCTAAGCTCCAGGACCAGTTTCTCTGGAAACAACTATGCCATAATACCCTAGCAAGTCTAATATTATTTGAAGTCAAATACCTCTGTCTTAAAAAAGGATTTGTTGTCTACAAGCCAAAGCTGAGCTGCTCCATTTGTTTAGTCAGGAGAGTAGAGACAGCATGGCAACTCATCCTTCAAAGTGTAAGCAGATCACCCAAGAGATACAGTTTTGCTTGATATTACCTAAAGCTCCACATGAAGCAGCTACAGAGGAGAGACTGTAACAAATACTGACATGTTTCCAAGAAATTGCTTATGCTGTCTGAAGATGAAAGAAAAAAAAAAGCAAAAAACAAAACAAAACCCAAAGCACAGAAGAAAACAAACAAACAGACTAAAAAGAACAAAAACCAAACCAAACCAACAAAAAACACACAAAACCCAAACTCCAGACCTGTCAGAGGCCCTGTGTGGAGAAGAGAGCATGCAGATAGAAAGAGGTAAAAGGAAAGTACTGAGATATTTACTAATTTTTTCTGTAACTAGTGCAATTTTAAAATTACAGTGTTTTTTTTCACCAAGGCAAATTTGTTTCATCTGCTCTCTAACCCAACACATGTAAACACAAGTATAAAGCTGTGGTGAGTTATTCTTGTGTCCAGCATCCTTCCTCTCTCCCTCACACCTCCTCTTAGCTCTCTCAGGCTCTCTGCAATTACAGCAGCTTTGCAGAAGTCTCTGGTGCAGCAATGAGCATCTGGCAGTGCTCAGGCTTTGCTGCCACTGTGCTGCGTCCTACACACGTTGCCCTCTTGCCTTACTTTTTTTTTTTTAATTTTTCTTTTAAATTACAAGATCTGTTTGTCTCTGCTTCCTTCATTTGACAGAACTGTTTAGTGAATGCTACCACAACAGTGAGGAGAGAGCATTTGCTCTGTTGGTGAGGAAAAATCAGTACTGGAGCAGAACCACTTGCCTTCAGCTTGCTACAGAAGCAGATGCAAAGTCTTTCTTTGCACATGACGGTGTCCAGGTAAGTTTTATATACCCCTGGGGCTTTAAGTTGGACACAGAAAAGAATAGCACAGCAACTGAACAACACCATGAAATGCATTCCCCTAAGAGCCACTCTTTGGAGAAGGGACTCTCTCCCTGGCACCATATGAAGAGGACATTACACCATGTCCTTGCCAAACCAACACAGTTCCCCCTGAGAAGGTTTACCCTTTAATCTCTTGTGTGCTTTTTGCTTTTTATTCATTCCTTGCTCACAGAGAAGCATCAGAAAAGCACTGTAAATCTGCCTGGGGCATGATGAAGCTGCTCCAAGATGTGAGGTAACTCCTTGTTCAGATTCAAGAAAGAACTCATTGAAAAAAAGCTAAATCAAATTACTATTCAGCTTTGCTGTCGCAACCTGAGTTCTCTCTGCACACACAAAGCCAAATTAAGAGTGACGGTGCTTTTAGTTCCCAGTGCCTGACTTGCACTTTTTTAGTACTACAGATGTTGCTTAATTCCATTTGACTTGCTGTTCTTTCCACTGGTCTCTTAATAACTCTTTGCATACTGAACATCTGCAGAGGGACGTGCAGAGCACCTGTTTGCTCTGAAGGTGTGCCTGCTCTTGAGGTTTCCAGACCATTCACTGTCTTAGGAGTCACTGACCATAGATGCACTTCATCTGCAAGTATGGTTTCTTGGTGTTAAAGCCATCTCTTGTTTTCTTGACTTTCAGGCCTTCCTGACAAAAATATGGTGGGGAGACATGTCAACAAGCACACAGATCCTGAAGTTAATCTGTGGGTTCTGGTGTCCTTTCCTAATCTACACAAATTTAATAGCATTCAGGTATGAACATAACTATTCGGATGGAAGAGATAAGTAAGTGATGAAAAATAAGCCGTAAAAAATATTCAGACTCAAAATTTCTCATCTAAGTGATGAAGACAGTAATATTGTCAACGTCAAAAGGACTGCTATTAACCAAATCAGTTTTTTATGGGGCTCAGTGATTTGTGCATCCTGTGTTAGTGCCGGTTCTCATACTTAAAAGATCAGTGCCACGGTTTCATAAAGATCATTTCTGTTTTGCACAGTCCAGAGAAAAGCCTGTTGGAATTCTGTCAGCTCCAGATTCTAAACAGTAATATTTAGAATATCTCCAGGTGTAGCATTGTCTGCTTCGTCTAGATTTGGAGATGCCTGGTTCAAACCTCTGTATCTTTTCAAGGAAAACAGCCATCACAAGGCAGTATTATCAGCCACAAGCCTTGATAACCATAAGTCAAGCTTAAAAACATAGGACTGACATTAAATCAATTAAGATTTTCAGAGTAGTCTTCTGCAGGCATAGCTTTGGAGTTTGTAGTTTTCAGCTTTTTGTCACAATGAAGATGATTTGAATCTTAGGTTTTCTTGAGAAAAACCTATACACAAAAAAACCCCAAACCAAACAAAAACAAAACAAACAAACAAACAAACAACAAAAAAAAAACCAGAAAATAAAAAAGAGCAGCCAAGATGCTCAGATGATCATAAAAATCCAGGATCTGAGAAAGAAAACCTCATAACATTTATAGAATCATATTCAAATCATCAGACTTGGCACTGTGGAATGACATGTTATTATGAAATCCATGCTTATTAACTGTTAAACTACATAAAGAGCAGAAGCAAAATTTGCTTGGCACTGCTGACTTAAGACTTTCCTTTTGCTAGTATGACTAAAGATGACCTTCTTGCCATACTGGCTGCCAGATTCACAAATTAATTTAATGCGATATTTTGGCAAAGTTTTCACGGAAAAGTTTAAATTATGATCCATAATCAAAGTAATCCTTTCAAATTTTCCATTTTTTGGCCTCCTTCACCTGTAAATGCAAGAATCGACACGTTCTCTACTGCTTCTGGCATTTCCTCTCTTAATTGCTACTAAGAGTAACTAGGAATGGAGAATTGGGCTATTGTCTAAGATGGAATGAGGGGTTTATTTCTGCTCAAATCATAAGTAATTTGAAGAAACTGAGCATCCTGCTCCATTTTTGTGAAGCATGCCAATTATCACTTCTCCGAATCTTGTGGGTGACTTCAGCCTTCTCCTTGAAAATAAAAAGAGTTTGTAAAGGTAAGGGTATGCATTATGTGCTAGCTTCCCAGTGGAGCAAGTCCAAGATAAGTACATGCTAGCAGTTCTGTGTTAATGCCAATTTAGGAGTCAAAAATAACTAAGCATCATCTTTCAACTAATGAGTTTATTTCCTTACAGTGAGGAAAAACAACCAAAGAATGAGCCAGAGCCATCAAGAGAGCTGGACAGTTTGGATACAGAGAGGACTCTGTTTTTTTCCAAGGAAGAAGATAGGTAATTTTAAAATCATTAGTCAAGATAACTCGTATGACAACAGGCACAAAACAGGACATTTCTTGTGGATTAGTGACCAGTTAATGATCTAAGGAGCAGCTGAAGAACCAAGAAAATCATTACTCCTCAGAAAGTGCTGTGCCCTCTGATGACTGCTCTTGTTGCTCACTAAAAGGAATATAGAAAATAAACAGGGATATTGCACTGCTTTAAGGAGACACCACTTTACTTGTTCTGAGCAGGTAATTTCTGCAGAACAAGGGATCTTCTTAATACCTTGGGAATCAAATAGCATTTCCTGACATTCCCTTTAGCTCAAGATGGCTGGTATACACTGGATTTTAGGAACTTATCATGTTACTGAGCTGAGCAGAAAGAAGGTTCTCAGCAAAGTCTTACACTATTTGAGTGCATCACTGCATGATTTCCTACCAAGGCATACCTGCACACATCAGTACTGGGGGAATTTTATATTGACATGGCTTCTTACCATTCTAATACTCTTCATTTACATTTTAAAAGATGAGCCCTGAGGAACCTTATGAGTTCGAGGGAACATCACACAAATGGGTGACTGAGCACAAAGATTGTGTCAGTTGCTCCCGGCCACTCAGAGATCTGTGATTCAGAACTGAATCCCACCCTATATCTCCCACACACACCCCCCATGCCAAAACCTGGGAGACCACAAGGACTTAAGTCAGGATAAGCAGCTTTTGATTGGTACAGAGCTCTCTTAGTGGTTAAATAGTGCTAAATAGCCACTTGCATTAAGCTTCCGATGATTTAAAGAGAACTTCAGAAATACGTGAACAATGGTAAAGAGAGGAAGCATCATCTGCAGTATGAAGTCCTGGACCAAGTCAGAGTTATTAGGTTCTATTTTTACTTCTGGCATTTAACTGCTGGTATATTGGAGAAAATCATTAGTTCTTCTCTCTCCCTCCCTAACCTATAAAATAGGTGTAAAAGCACCTGCCTCTTGGGAGCTATTTGTAAGCAATATCATAAAGCACTCCCATATCCTGAGTGCAGCATGGTTTGGTCATTACACTGTGTGTTCCAATTGCTATCATCTTAGCAATTTATTTTAACAAGGAGGCTCTCTCCCTCCCAGATCTATTTCAGCATCTTACAGAAACAGTGCAATTATCTGTTTATGATATTAGCCTGTTACCGTGGGAATGTATCTTATGATGTCATAAATTAAGAGATAGTACAGAATCAGGCACATAGAAAAGATTAGCTGCAAAGAGATATTTTTTCCTTGTAACAAATGTATTTAATAATTAGAAAGTTTGTCAGAGGAAATTAAAAAGCAGTGAAGAATCATTGTTTATTTTCTGTGAAGTGAAATTGAAAACATACCCTAGTGTGCACATCCTTTGTTGGAGATGACACCTCTCAGAGTCAGAATCACAAATTAAAGATCCAATAACATCCTTAGCTTACACAGGAGAGCATTTTATGTGGAAACAAATCCTCACACTAAGATCAAATTGCTATCAAATACAAGGAACTTGCATTTTCTGCACAGGATAATTTCCATTGCCAATAGATACCAGTTCATGTTCCAAAACACAGAAAAACAACTGTGGATCTACAGGTCAAATTTCCCTTTGGTTACCAAAATACTTGCATAATTCCACAATACTCAAAGACTACCTTAATACATCATTTATGAGGTCAACTCTTTTTGCTAAAAGGCTTCTACATTGCTTTTTTTTTTTTTTTTAACTTACTCTAATTTAATCATAAAGGGCAAGATGCCAGTTGTGAAAAGGACTAAAGTATTCCTTCAGTAGTTCTATCAGACTCCAACAAGGATAGTCAAAATGCTTAGTATGATCCTGGATCATGCTTAGTATGATCCAGCACTTTGAGACTGTGTCAAAAGTTTAAAATCACAACAACAACAAGAACTTCTGCATTCAAACACTGCAAGAAAATTTTAGAGTCAAAATATTTAAGAACTGTCTCACAAACTTCATTGGCCATTTTCTTTCCTATTATTTGGGATGATAAAAAGTAATTAGCCCCCTTCCCCCTCTCCTTGTGTATTTGCAGTGTTTGCAGTACATCCTGAAACACAATGAGATTACAAATCAAATGAATACAATTAAACTGAAATAACAAAATGTGCATTTAAGTCTGATGTGACTTTGCTTTTCAAAACCTTCTTTTTGATTTGAAATATTTCTGCTGTGGTAATGTGGTTGCTCTGACTTCTACAGCCTTCCTCTTTGCCACCCCCTGCATCTGCCTCTTACAAGAAACTTTATATAGAATAATATTGAGCTTATTCCCATGAACTAATTTTAGGAAATTGTCACAAGCCTATATTTTTTTCCACTTGCAGAGGAAATGCTAAATTGGAAAAACAGAACCCTTCTGAAAACACAGCGTGGGCAACATTCATGTTTATCCGGTGGAGAAAATTCTGGAATGCCCCTGTAACTGTATTTATGGGGAATGTTATAATGTACTTTGCTTTTCTGTTTCTATTTACTTATGTCCTTTTACTGGACTTTAAACCACCTCCACCTGATGGTCCATCTGTTAAAGAAATTATACTATACTTCTGGGTGTTTACCCTTGTCTTGGAAGAGATCCGACAGGTAAGGGACCTACATCACCTTAGAAATAACACAGTAGAACTGGCAGCAATTTTTTCAATAGACCTGCAATCTGTGTAAATGTACAAGCTTGAAGATTTCAAGTGTCAAGTGCAGATTTATACAGGTGAACAATACAGAACTTACCTTATCCAAAACATCTCACCTCTCTCCCAGAGCAAGCTCTTCCTCCACCACATAAACCTATAGCTCCATCTCTGGTTTTTCCATCCTACTCCAGTGGTAGCCAAGTCAAGCGAGCTGCCAGCATTCAGATATTCTTCACTTTGTAAAGTTGCTTTCTGATTTCCCTCCCCAGAACCAGGTAAGTCCTCCCACCACAAATAATGTAATTTGGAAGTTATAGTCTACACCTGGTAACACAGCTGACAACTCTACATCCTTTTAAGAGATTCTTCCCCACTGGGGACTGTTTTAAAAAACTCAAGTTAATGGATTCAGATTATTTGCATTTTTCCTAAAATACTGCTCAATGCAAAACATTAGCAGATCTATTCTGGGTTTGCTTTTCTTTAAAAAAACCAAACAACCAAACCCACCAACCCTCAAAACCCTTCTCAACTACTCTCCTACTGCTGGTTTTGGAGTGTCCTCAGTTTAACAACTGAAATAATGTGTTAACAATGCTGCTAGTGTGTTGCCAACTGTGAGTGCATAAAGCTGTTCTCCTTAGACAGAAAAAAAGCAGTTGCAATCAGTTCACTCTGAAAGAACCAATAGGTGTTCATTATTTAAACCAAAGGAACAGGGGAGGAGATCCCAGTTTATTACAATTTATCTGAAATTGTGCAGCAAGGCTATAACTAGAGGAGGACATGGAAAATATCTGGATCAAAGAACATTTAATTATAAACCTGTAAAACATGAAGATTTCCAGGCTAAAACCCAATTAAGAAACCCAACTCCTTGTCTAAATAATCAAACATGCCCTTACTGACAGTTTCAGTACACAAATGCAAATCTGTTCCTGCTGTTTAGATAGCAATGTCTAGAAACTGAACTTTGCCTGGAAGTTGTTGTGTTGTTTAACAGCCTGAATGCTGACTTAATCATAGAATGGTTTGGATTGGAAGTGACCATAAAGATCATCTAATTCCAAAACCTCCTGCCATGGACAGGGACACCTTCCACTAGATCAGATTGCTCAAATCCCTGTCCAACCTGGCCTTGAACACTTCTAGAGTTGGAGCAACCGCAACTTCCCTGGGCAACCTATTCCAGTGCCTCGACACCCTTAGAGTAAAGATTTTCTTCTGTAAAAATGTTAAATCAGGCCTCAAAAATTCTGAAGACTATTACCACAAGAATAAAAATTTTTTTCCTTTTTTATCCAGCTTCTGTGCTCTAGGATGGTAAACTGAGCTTATGTTTTCAAGCTTTGTTTTTCCTTATTACACTAGGAATTTGGTTTTGTTTTTTATAATGAAAGAGAGAAAGGAAATGGGTATTATGTTAAAGCACACAATGAAATAGTGAAACGGGTCAATAACTGATTATTTCCCTTTTTCAGAGTTTCTATACAGATGAAGACACAAATTTAATGAAAAAATTTAAACTGTATGTGGAGGATAACTGGAATAAATGTGATATGGTGGCCATCTTTCTCTTCATAATTGGGGTAACCTGCAGGTAAATATTTGTTCCATGTGATGTGGACAGCATCAGTAGCAAGGGCTATGTATATCAGCTGACAGCAGTGTCTCATGTGCACATGAGGACAGGCTGTGACATTTATTTCTACAAACTTTGAGATGTGTTTCTGCAAGAGGAGCCTCTAAAATTCTGTTGAAATCACAGATATTACTCCAGAGACCACAAAAAGACATATTGATATATTCAAATACATGTACTGAAAAGCTCTGCTTTGTGTGTTTGTTTGTTTTTGGAAATCACTTTTACTCAAGTTGTAATGTTTTTGTTTTATATTTTAATAAATCTCATTCAAGCCAAGAGAGAGAAAACAGTGTTCCTCCATCTTTTGGCTGCTTCTCATCAACCTAGAGATATTATGTCAAGTTCATCCTACAGGTTTATGCAACCACAGCCCCAAAACTTTCTCCTAAGTAGGCTGTGCCCTGAACCTTAGTGTTGTATTTGAGAAAATACTTCTCAGCAGTATTTGCAGAGATCTGATATTTCATTTCATGTGTTCTTGCAGGATGCTGAACTCAACTTTCCAAGCCGGCCGTACAATACTTGCCATTGATTTTATGGTGTTTACACTTAGACTTATACATATTTTTGCAATTCACAAACAACTTGGACCAAAGATCATAATTGTGGAAAGGATGGTAAGAGTGCAGTCTCTCTTGGATAAATACCTGTACCTTCTAAGAAATGGAGAGTAGGAAATCTTCTCTTTAGAAAGGAAATCAGTTTATAATCTATTTTTAATGCTCATTATTTTGCATATTACCCTGAGTATTAGATGCAATGTTTGAAATAGATCCCTCTAAAGAGCTCTGTAGTGTAATAAGTTGGTCAAAATTTACTAATCCTTGTATCTTACCTAATAATTTATACTCAGATCTGGCAAACAAAGAGTAGAGAATCTTTGACTTACTGGTCTTCCTCCTACTTCCTAAGCTGTCTGCATCCAGAGGAAAGACAGATGACAGACCATGCACAGAAGGGCAGGGCTTCCAGTGATTGACTCTGCTCCGCCTCAGGAAACAGATCATGTTTTTTGCAACAACAGTGAAAAAAAAAGAATCCATGAAAAAGGGTAGTTGCAAATTTTCCACAGGAATTATTTTTACTTGTACTTTTTAGCTCCAAGTTACAATGAAAACATACTAGTACTTTGTAAGCATATGCTGGAAGATGTTGACAAAATATTTTTATTTATTACCACTCTACTGCAGGAAAAGAGACACTGGGACTACAGCTACTGTGCTTGGGTATGCATTGGTATATTGAAGTAGCTTTTTATTTAGGCAAGTTAATCCTCCAGGTCAATTAGCTCATGCTAACCGATTAATAGAGTTCATCTAATTGTAAGTGCTATTATAGAGTTACAAATATTTGATTTGTGACTCACAGCAGAACTCCATAAAAGCTCTACAGTTTAAACAAGCCTATACATTGAATAAACATAACTAGCAAGCTGTTTGGATTTGTCTACAAATGCAATAAATGGAATTCTAACATGACATTTGGTTGAAGTAGCAAAAGGGTAAATGGCAAGTAAATATTTACTCTTGATCATTATCCAGCATACTTCTATTGTAAGGGAACAAGTCAGATCTACAGCTCCTAACCCTTCCTTTGCCGCATACCAAGCTAAACCAGGGCTTTGAACAAGTATATTGACATGTCTACTTTGTTGGCATCTGAAGTCACACAAGATATCACATGGACTGAGAAGATCCAAATAAGAACATAAACAGTAGCCTAGACAAAACCACAACATGAGATCTTTCATATTTCCTCCATCCAAGCCAACACAATGCCTTAGCTTTGGTAGTTCAATGTTGAACCTTACGTCAAATGAAAGAACAATGAAAATTACTTCAGTAGAGGAAACCTTTTTCAAAGATTTATCAAGGGGATGCAAGCAAGATCATTTCCTTTACTTAAACAGAGAAGCAGTCCAAGATGATCTCTTACTGTTTTTCTTCTTCATAACCTTGCTACAGAATTGCTGAAACAGGTCTGGTAGCTTTTAATGTGACAGAACAATGCCAGAACAATGCCCGTTCACAGAGAGACTGCAGATAGGAAAAAAATATATCCATACCTGCCACCACTCTCACATCAGTATGGCACAATTACAGTCATGCAGCATTGCTAGATTTTAAATCATCCAGAAAACAAAAGAGATTGACGAAAGTCAGAGATACTGTCTTGCCTGGTTTAGAGACCCCGTTTCTTATTAGAACTCCAAGTAGCATCCTGGAGGTCTGAAATGCCTATGCTTTGGGGTAACTGTACAATCCAATAATCTAATTGAAATGAATCTACAGTCCCTAATGAACTCTGTCAAATTAGATGGGAAGGGGATGAAGTGTTCCTCTTCCACCAGGGAAAAATTATTGTACTTGAAATGCATATTAGATTATTTTTTTTAAGTAAGTGTTTTAGGATTCAATTACTTCTGCTCCTGTAAAGAAACACAATGTTTAAAAGCAGGAAGACCTGAAAACAATCCTTTAGATGCATCACTTAGCTTGAAAACTGAAGACAAAGGCAACCTGATCCTTGCAGACTTCGCTGTCTGCTCTCTCAGTGGTTCGGTATTCATCAATGAGCAGGATTCATCAATTACCAGGATTCTCTGCTGCAGCAGAACTCTTGTAACTGGCAGTAAAGCAGTCCATAGTACTGAGATATCTCACAGAAAATATGTATTTAAAGATACAGGGAGATTGACTTAAAATGTGTTTCATTTTTAAATGTTAGATGATTGGAAAGCAAGGTTTTAGTTTAAAACATGTCTTTATCTAAATGAGCTATCAAAGAAAAATGCTTATTACAGGCCAAGAACAATATGAAAACAGCAAGGTCAGGAGAGGAATTCTGCGCCTGGAACTGTATCATATTCCACCTCCTTTAACCTAAATAAGCTTGTAAAGAAACAGAATTATTCGGACCATATTCATACAGAAAGAATACTGTTCTTTGACTATGGCATCACAGTCACTGCTCCTTTTCTCCCCACCCCCTCTATTTTTTAGATGAAGGATGTTTTCTTCTTTCTGTTCTTCTTGAGTGTGTGGCTCATTGCCTACGGTGTGACAACTCAAGCTCTACTTCATCCTGATGACAGACAAGTGGAATGGATATTCAGAAGGGTGCTTTATCGTCCCTACCTTCAGATATTTGGTCAGATTCCACTGGATGAAATAGACAGTAAGGAAATTTCTTTCCCCCTAACTTGGCCTTTTCTAATGCACACTTCTGATTAGAGCATAGAATTCCTTCCAAGTATTGTCTCTTTTTATTTTACCTTTTTTTAATCTTAGTCCTGTAGGACAAAGTTTTCATATTACTTTGACATAAATAGTATATTTTCAAAGAGATAACATGCATTGTGGAAGTACAATAGACCATAAGGGCAGGCCCTTTATTTAGACAAGGTCTCTGAAATATTCACACAAGGATTTGCAGTTTTAAAGGCTGGAATACCTCCTTTCACTTCCATCCATTTCCATTCAGTTTACCTAGACCCAGATAACCCTGTGTAAACTAAAATAATAGCACCCTCCATACATTTTGGCAGCAGTTTAACGTGACAGTGTTAAAACAGTACTGCTCTGCCCATAAGCAAACACTTATATTTTAGAATAAATATTCCTCTAGAGCATTTATTTACTCTGGAGATAAAGCTGCCCAAATCAAATAAAGGTAGTAATTGCTTATGTGCAACATTGCAAACAAAACAACATAAAAATAATCACAAGACACAGAAATAATTAGACATAAAAGTTCAAAGGCAGCACTTCTGATAGGCAAGCAGGTGAAATACATAATAGGTCATCTCCCAAAGAAGTCTGAAGTAACACCACAGGATTTAGCCAGAATAACAGTGCTAAATGTCAGTGGTAATAATGAAGTAGGATTCAAACTTAGAGTAATTATAAATGGAACAAAAAAAAAAAACCAAAACATACACAGAAGCAAACTGGTAAGCATTCTTTCATGTTCACTCTGCTTAATAAGAAAAAACATGTCTTAGAAAAGCCAAAAAAGTCTGAGTGAGACGAGAGCAGGGGTGTGCTTCATCTCACTTAGTTTTAAAAACCTATGGTGTAAGCATGCACAGCACAATCAGTCACTCTTATTTCCATTACAGTAATTGTAGAGACAAATATTTCTGGAATAGGATTCACCTCATTTGGAAAAAGGTCATATGTAGCATTCCCTAGAAATGTGTGTTTCTCTCCATTGAAATTCCAAATGGTGTCTTCACCTGGAGAGATAACTGGCTAAAAGAAATGGAGAAAAAAATAATCAATTGTATGGGCAGCTTCCTGAAGGGAGTAATTTGTTCTGGGAACCTCTGGGACTTATTCTGTGTAACATCTTTATGAAACATACGGAAAAGGAGATGGGTAATGAGGAGAACAAAATTTGCTGACAAAACTACATCACTGCATAGTAAAGATGAAAACTGACACCTAAGAGATGCAGAGGAGCCCCATGAGTGCTAAATCATCAAACGAAATTCAGTGTAGATAAGTATAAGGTGAAAGCAGTTCCAGCCGTGGTGAGCTTTGATATAACTAATGCTCTAATGAGTATGACCTGGGGTTATCTGTGGCAGCTGAAAAAAGAATTACTAGGGAAAAAATGGAAAATGAAAAAGTAAATATCATTATGCTCCTCCAAATTTGTGGATTTAATTCATAGCTGGAAACAGACTACAGCAGTAGGCCCCTAGTCTGATGCAGTAGAACCAGATGTTCTTCCTAGGCTTGACTGCAAGCTCAGATACTCAAAGCAGTTTAAATCTACAATGAGGAATCCCAATCCCAGTTTTACTGAGTTTTCTCCTCTAATGCACATACCAGCATAAGGACTGTGAAGACACAAGCATATAGGGGAACACAAACTCGGAGGTGGTTTGACTTTGAGAACTCAAAAGTAGTCTAAAAAGGATCCACAGCCCTTTCAATACAATCCCCTTTTTGATGAATGCTACTAAAAAAGCCATCTATGACAGCCATCTTGCCACTAAATGAGCGGCAAAGTTGTGGAGGTTTGAACTGTCCTAGGGTTGCAAATGTCTTGCATGATAAAGCAGTGTCTCTTCACGTACACAACATGATTACATTTTCTCAAAATTAAAGACCTGGATGTTAGTGCACACAAATGATCTTTCAACTGCAAGAAAATTCTGTAGCTCAAGCAATCTCTTTACCCTGCTGGGGTAAAGAGAGTCTCGTATTCATGGTCCTGCTAGTAGTCAACAAGGGCAGTACAAAAGTACTACCACAATATTTGGTTTAAGCTTTTGATGATTGTAAAATATTCAGAACAAAATTGTGCTAGTGCTCACATGCAGCCAATATTAAATCTCATTTTAGTAATCAGTATCATCATTGTCTTTGATTTCTATTTTAACAGTAAAGGTACTAAATATACACATCCATCCGTGTCACTAGTTCTTAAAGAAAGACATCTTTAGAGGTGTTAATTCAGTTTTTCTTTGCACTGAAATAGCTATGAAATGCATTACTTCAAACCTCAGGAACAATTTGTGATTCTTGCCGTTCTTTGTTGAAAATCAGAGATCTTGGTCACCAAAATGCACAGCTTTTGTCCCCACACTAAGAGAAACATGTGGCAATAGGATTTGTCAATTCTATTCTTTTATTTCTCTATCTTCCTTTGCAGCATCACGAACATATCCCAGGAACTGCACATTTAATCCACTGCAGATTCTGCAGGAGAACACACCATCGTGTCCTAATAGCTATGCCAACTGGCTTGTCATACTTCTGCTGGTCATATTCCTACTAGTCACAAATGTTCTGCTTATGAATCTCCTGATTGCAATGTTCAGGTAAGAGAGATTTCACCAAGTATCAAGACAGAGACTGCAAAAGTTTAAGTGAATGCCCACATTTACTACATTGCTGTTGGCTACTCATCTTGGAATACACTTGCAATTTTCCTAATAAATATTACTTGGGGATTGATAGGCAGAATTCTCTGATCATATAGCTCAAGTTCTCATCATCCTCACTCTAGCCACATTGAAGATAAGAAGAAAAGAAGCCTCTTTTACTGCTAAAATGTCAATTAAGAATGGTCTGGGTCCCTGGCTGTGCTGCAGCACAAGTCTGCAGGTGCAAAGCAGCCATAAACTTGGCAGACTTAACAGTGGGTGATCTGCACATAAGGGAAATGCTTGTTGTCAACACAGTTAATAATGATTAATTTGGTTGAAGGACTGATGTGGCATGTTTGCTGATCTTTTCTGAGTGAAATAGAATTACCTTTCTTAAAAAAAAAAAAAAAAAAAACCAAACAAAAAACCCAAACCAAACAAATATATCTTTTAACATTTGAAGGCTGCAACTGCAATTATTTTAGTACCTACGAGTCTGCACAAACTTTAGATGGAATTAACACTACTTGCTGAGCGTGTTGTTCCTTCTTTAAAGTAAAGATGGAACTAAAGTTTATCTTTATCTTGTTGTGGTCAAAACAGTTATATACTTTTATTTTCCCCTCCAATTACAGTTATACTTTTCAAGTTGTTCAGGGCAATACAGACATCTTCTGGAAAGTTCAGCGCTACAACCTGATTGTGGAATATCATGGCCGTCCTGCCTTAGCACCACCATTTATCATTATTAACCACATAACTCTGGTTCTCAGAAGACTCTTCAACAAAATGGAACATAAAAAAAACATCTGGGTGAGTTGCTAACAAACATCTGGCAACAGGAGACCCTGACACTCTCCTAGGATATGGTGCATAGGCAAAACAGAAGAGCAAGTCAGATTTCCTTAAGCCAAGAGTCACAAATTACTTTTAATAAAGAGTGCCAGGAGATGACAAATGAAAAATTAAGGTTTATAATGTAAAGAGTTTCCCACAATGCATTTCTTTATGCATCATAGTTATTACAATATAAAACAGGTTAAAGGGATTTGATTTCTGAAAATAAAGCAATTGATAGGTTTAAAGAATAGCTATTTCATTTGCTCCTGAATTTTAATAATTATTAGGTATGGGTAACCCTATAAACAAATAACAAGTCTAGAAATCTACTATGATCAATGGAATTTCCCAATATATAGAGACATGGAGAGAGAATAAGCACTCTTAGAGAAATGGTGGTGTCTTAACAGTTATAATTAAAAGTTATTACCGATGAAGTTCAGGTAAATACAGAAGGGGCTTTCTATCATGATGGCAAACTTGATAGTGTCTCACAATAAGCCTATTTACTCCTCATACACAGGATGATGATGGGCTTTGGAGCAGAACTGCTCTCAGACTAGACCAATTTATAGCCCCCTAACTAAGCTCCCTAAGGAGTGTCAGACACACTCCTCCTGGCTAGCAAAGCGTGTTGCTGGAGATTCTTCAAAGAAAAGAATTCCTTTTTTCCTCTAAGAAAGCAAGTACATGGAGCATGCAACAAGTGTGCCCTTTTACCAGGAAGATGCAAAACTGTTATGTTCCATTCAAAACACATGTGTGAAGTTTAGGTCTGTTGTTGGCTTGGACACTGGACAGCAACACCAGCCTTTCTGTTTCGAGGTGGAGGGATTTACTCACAGTTTGTCCTTCCTGTTTATAATTGGTCTAGTGAAGAAGCTCAGATGCACTTTAAGCTCAGCTCATTGAATACTTTGGGGCTAAAATATGACGCCTATTAAGCTTGTAAATGAGTTTAAATGAAACACAAGAAATTGGTTATGCTGTTCTCTAGAAAATTCAGGAGTCATATCTAACTGCAAAAAGGTTTACTGCCTGCCATTACAAGAAAAAAAGGTATGAAATACCTTCATTTTCATAACATGACTGCTGCAGTTACAAAGGGTCTGCAATGATAAGACTTCACTTTCCTTTAGCGTATCAGCCTTTCACTGCTAGTAGAACAGAAAAGGGAGTTAAATATAACTCTTAATGCATTTTTCCTACAGAAAGAGATCTTCCAGTGGGCCTAGATCAAAAAATCATAACATGGGAGCTGATGCAAAAGGAACATTATCTCATAAACCTTGAACAAGAAAAGAAAGAAAGCAATGAAGAAAGGCTGAAGGCCACATCTAATAAGTATGTTATTCTGACCCATAGTAAGTGTAACTTGCATGTCCAGCTTTGAATTAGATGAACATTGAAGTGCTCGTAAAGCTTATACGAAGGGTCCAACTGGAACGCACTTAGGAAATACACAGTTCATGAAAAAATGTGAGAGGCCTCCATCACTACATTATTAGAAGTTTTTTTTGTCACTCTTGGAGTATGTGCAATTACAGACCTGTAAGTTCCAGCCAAATCTGCAGTCAAGTTTAATGAAAATTAAATTCATGAAGAAATGGTGGAAAACCAGTTTGTTTGCTGTGCTACAGCACATGTACTTTCATCCCATGTAGGAATGCAATGCAGCACGGGCTTTTGAATGAGACTTTTTAATGGCTTAGACTTTCGAATGGAAGGTTAAGATACCTTGAATTAGCCCCAGCCCACAGATGCAGAAAAACAAATATTTATGGCTTTATGGCATGACTTGAGTCTCCATTTATGTACTTCTATAAAATATCTCCCCACTAAGAATACCACTTAAATTGGTTTAGTATGCTAAAGTCCTAAGTTAGTATTCCGAGGTTTAAACCTTTCAATGAGACACAAAGTAGTTATATGCAGGGGAAACAGAAACATCTAAGGCAATACAGAAAGCCAGACAGCAGACCACTCTTCAAAGAAGTTTTTAACACCTGTTCCAGCTGTTTCCTCTTATAATAAAACTGACTTCAAATAGAGGCACAGTGGGTGTGAAAGTTACCATAAGAAGAAAGTTCCATGGAAATGTTCTTGTGCTGTCTGCTTTCTTTCAAAACAAACCTCCATCTAACTCACAGAATAGCTGGAGACCAGAATAGTGTCCTCATGTATTCTTCTCCCTCTAATTTACATGGACCCTCAATTCATAATAATTTAGAATTATTATATTGGTTTAAGCTTTATTCTCATAAGCAGATCACTGACAAACCCCAGGAGTGAGAGTTTAATTGTTCAGATAAAGCAATAAATATGTGTATAATTGTTTTCAAACAAAAGGCACTATTACATTCTTTTCTAGCTTTAAAACCAGAATGCTTTAAAGATGGTACATTGTAGGTGAGGTTACTTCTTGGAGTGGAAAAGTGAGGATCTTTCCAGCTTCACAGTATTTCAGGTAGAGCCAGAAGGAGACAAGAAAAGATTTAGATGAACATCACCAAACCCATGGCTTTTTATCTTTCCTCTTAGGTGGTAGCGCTGTGTTTTTGAAATCTTATGAAACCTTCAGAAACTGATTCTTTGAACTTTGCACTGAAACAATCTGAAAATGCATTAGACCCACCCAGCAGCAGGTTTTTCATATAGATGTGATTGGAACATAATCTGTTAAGAGGGAAACTTTGAAATAAGTAGCTAGGAGAAACCGGAGAGGGATTTGCCAAGCCTATGGGGAATCAGATGCTAAGAATAAGGAACTGATGGGAGAAGTGGTAAAGGATGCAGAAAGCAGGTGGATAATTCCATTATTTGGAGGCACTATGTGGAAGTTCCCTACACAATCCTTTTGAACTGCATGAAAAAATGTATTTGAATATCAAGCCAGTTCCCAAAAATGAAACCTTGTGTAAATTTTAAGTGTAGGTAGAAAATATTGTGGCCTCAGTTTTCACACCAGGATCAGTTTCCATTTGGTACAGGTGGGAAAGCCACATGAGTGGCTGAAGAGACAGAAGGTTCCTTTCTGCTGCCCTTGATTTCGACAACACCTGGGGCTAAGTGGCCCTCACCAGAAGCTGAATTGCTGCTGTGATTTGTGTCATTTTATGAGTCCCTGAGCAACAGGTACATGAGTGTTCCAGAGATGCTGCTCTGTCCAATAAATACTTCTTGGAACACTTCAAAAGGACAAAACTTTTAGGGGGCTCTGGGATGTCTGAGCAGCACAGAATGCAGTGAGGGGCCACGGCTCTTCCTTTTCGCTCAGTGTGTTCTGCTTTGTTTCCACAGGGTAGATAATTTGTCGAAATATTTTAGTGGGTTGAAAGAACAAGAAAAACGGTTTAAAGTTCTGGAAGCCCAAGTAAGTAATAGTTTTATAGGCATTTGTTTCAGCTTTAGGATTTCAACATATTTCTCATTTAATAGCCGTTTGGCAGACCCTATTTAGGGACAAAGGGAAGGAGAAATGGATCTGTATGATGGTTTCACATTCCTTATTGTTTTCTGTCTGGTGATATACATATGTAAAGAAACATTTCTGACCACTGGTAGAAAGGAGCAAAGGGAATACAGCATTTCTTGCTCTCTTTGCTAGTTTACTTGAGAAGTGTTTAATTCCTTTGTTAAGGATGCTTCTGGAATGAAATGCTTCAGCTTCTCCCGCTCCTTCTCAGTCTTCTCCTAACCTTTTCTTTCTTTAAAACTGTCAGCTTGGAAAATACCCCTGTTCTGGCTAATCTGACCTAATCTTCATGGACATCAGTTTTTCTAATTTTCTCAGATACCAGGTACCAGCATCTCAAAGGGAAGTGTCTAACATACAATCATGAAACGCAAATAATAGCAGGAAACCCTGTCTTTCGCTTCTGATGACAAACCCTTGGAATATAAACAAACACTTTAATCAGCCTGAAAATGCTCAGCATTACCAGGTGCTATGTAGCACAACTGCTATTGTTTTCTTTATCTCTACACTCTCCAGTGTAATTTTGGCCTTGCTGAAAGTTCCTTATCTTAATACTCCTGTTACAGTTTCCCTCCCAGCTCTTATCCATTTTATGGCTTCCTGAAAAAAGTCATGTTATACAGGTCCAACAGGAACACACAAGTAATGCTTTAGTAAGTTTGTGCCAGCTTGAGATAATGCAATATACTCAGAAAAAAGGGGAAGGTATCTAATCAGTACCTATTTTGTAGATTTGTTATTGTACAGCTGTTATCTCCTCAATGGCAGAGGTCTTAACCAAAAAGAACCTCCTGAGCACCCAACCAGCTCCAAACTATACATGTAAGTACTGAAAATAATTCTGGATAAGCTAATTAATACAGCTGAACAATGTAGTTAAAAACAAATTGCAAGGGGAAAGAGGATTGGAAAATAACCACATAAGGAAATACCTAGAAGTAATGGGAATATAAGCAAGGAACAGAATACTAATACTTCAGAATAAAAAAAATCACCCTTTGCAAAATACATTTAAAAGCTTTGAGGAAAGGACTGTCACTTATTGTGAGTTAGAATAATCTCACCCAACTTCAAGCACATAAACAAGTATCTATTTGCCACAGAGGGGATTTCTTGAGTCAATGAGATAGTCCTACTGAAGTATTACCAAAATATTTAATACGGATAACAGTAATCATTAAAAACAAAAATTGAGCAAGTCTTCTACTTTGTTTTAAGGATCTTGTTCAGTGTCCCAGGGTTTCTCTCATTGGAGTTTAGAACATTACAGACAGAAAAAAGACTATTTCTCAGCCACTGCAGGATATCCAAAACAGTAAAGATTTTGGATATTCTTCTTAATGATCTATTTCAATATCTACCTATTGCTATCTATTACACAAAACACCCTCCAAAACCCATAAACTATATACTACAGGGGAAAAAGAAGTAACTGGATAATTCAGCAAAGTGGTGACATGACAAGACCTCAAGTCACTCAGACTTGAGCTAACCTCAAGCTTTACTTAATTCTGTCAGAAGCTTATAAAACCCTTACATGAATTGCTTCGCTATCAGCATTCGGTAGGAAAACCCATCCTGTAGCAGGTTCCCCAGGCATTTTAATACCATAACTGCATAAAAATCAGGAACTTAAACAGCTAAAAAATAAGCCTGTGTTTATCATTTACTGATCAAATGCAAAGTAATAAACAGTATCTTCTTTTTTCAACATTTCAAAGTTTTGTAAGCAATTACTATTATGTTCTCTTTCTCCTAAGGCTTTTAAACAAACACATGACTTTTACAACCCTATTAGGTGTGATGAATGCCAACACAGAATGGCCTTTGCCAGAAAGAAGTGAAAGAGAAGAGCATGCAGATCAGTTTGAGAATGACATCGCATACATCGATAATTAAATTTATTCTTATTTCTTCAGATTAAACCTTTTGTCCTGCTGAACTACTGCAGAAGTAAAATCCTGATCTCATGAAGTCCTAAGGGCCAGCTCTCAAAGCCTTTACACTGAGCACTGTCAATGGTTGACATCACTGAGGATTTCTTGATCTTCCTCCTTCAATTTTTGGGCTTTCTTTGCCCCTGCTCATAGAGCGGTTTTCTGCAACACCATTCCACAGACAGCACTAAAAGCTTTCTCCTCCAGGGTGACTCTATCACTTTATTTTCCAAATACGATCTGCCTTCTGTTCTCCAAATACCACACCCTCAATCCATCGTCATCACTGCCAATTTCCACACTTCTCTGTTTAAGGGAGGGTCCCTTTGGAAGGGTGATCGTTTACGCAATAAAAACCAAGCCCCTTCCTTGGCCAAGAAAGCAACTTCTAAGTTGCTTAGAAAGGAAATCATGAAATATTTTCCACAGGAAAGGGCCTGGGATACTGAACTATTACAATCCATACAGTTCCTGGAGTTCCTAGAACCCTTAAACAACTGCATTCACCGTCTTCTCTTCCCACGCTTGCTCCCGTGAGGTATTCCTTTGCTGGTATTCCTTACCGAGAGCTCCTCACTCATCCCCAGAAACTGGAAGCCTATTGCTCAATCCTCAAGTGTGCATTGGCTTGACTCACTTTTTAAACACAAAGTGGGTGACTCTCCCACAGTCAGACCCCCAGCTTCTGCCACTTGTTTTTTTGTTCTAATGCCCGATCGTGGCTGCTGCCAGCTTCCCGTTGTAAAGGAGCCTTTGCCCTGTACCACACTGCATGGAATGCTGCATCCACACCTAAGTGGTTTTCTGATTACATTTTACTTTTCTCTCTCAAAGGTCAGGGAAAAAAAAAAACGCAAACACTAGGAGACTTTAAAACAAGAACGTGTACCAAGAATTATCCCACAAACTACGAATTTGGACTGGTAGTGGCTTTTTTTCATTACTTACACTGGTTTGTACATTTTTAGCATGCAAAAGCTTGCTGGGCTTTATTAGAATTTTGTATGAAAAGATACATCAGTAAAATGAATACTGTTCTTCAAGGGGCAATTTCTTTGATATAATACAAACAGCATCAGAAGGGGGAAGTACTGGGCTGTGTCTTGTCTTACACTGATAAGCTTCAACTGCATTTCCTCACGCATATAATATTGCTTCTATACAATGTAAATGTAGGTTGCACAAAAGCTGTTACCAAAGGTGGAATAAAAAATAAATCTCAGCTCTGACAGAAATACCTTTCAGAAATGAGTCTTTTATCAACAGATATTAATCTTGTTATAACAGCTTCATAAAACAGGCATTTGTCCAGTTTATTCACCCTAGGCAAGCACAAATCATAAACCCAGTAAGTTTGTACTGAGCTACGTTTTTTTGTTAAGAAGTAATAGGTATCTTACAACCAGCATGCCCTGCTCTAGGCAGCAGCTTCCACTTTGAAATGGCTACTACTTTCATCGTGATCAGCACACTAATTATCCACTGGAAACAAAAATCTATCCATTTGGAATTGTTACGTCCCACTCATATGCACTGGAACAACCAACGCATCTCCCAATGACCCCCTTAATTAATGTGCATCCAACTGTACACTCATTCTGCTCTTAAAAGGTGAATTTCAAAAGATGGATCACAACTGCTCATTTTACATTGTTTTCTGCTTGTTCTGCCAAATGATGCATCTGTTCAAGACATGAAGACCCCCCAAGTGATTTGGGCCTACCAGTCAATTACTGGTAAGATGGACCCCCCTCAGAGGAAGTCACCCCCTCAAATACCCTTCCGGGTTTGAGCAAGCACAGCCTACCAAGAAATATCACAAATTCTTAGGAAGTCATCTTTCAGTACAGTTATAAATATTACCATTGGGTTGGTTCATTTAGAATACTGGCAAAAAAATGTCAGAATGTCAGAACTGAACTAATTTGAGTTTCAAATCATACCACCTTTGAAATAATTTAATCTTTCAACCTTATTTATTAAATTTGCTACATTGCACATAAAACTACTATATTTGATATTCCTTACAATGTGAATCACTGTATGAGATGATTCATCCCATGTGGGGATTATAAATTGTAAGATGATTGAAAATGTTAAAAATGTGAATTTTAGAATCTACAGGACTTGATGGAGAAGTTAACAAGATGGTAAACTTAGAGTAACACTCTAAAAGGTTTTCCAGACAATTCTCAAATCAAATAAACGGAGTGTTTGTTAAAACTTCGACTGCTGCATTACTCAACATGGTTCAGAGATGAAGAAATCAAACTACAACCAGAAGTTTATTGCATCACATAGAACAAAAAAGTATCCAGTTCTGGTACAAATATCTCATTCCCGCAAATACCCCAATCCACACACAGAATCAGTGTGGAAGCAGCTCCTCCTGGAAAGAACATACAAATGTGCAGATCAAGGATAATCATATAATCATAATATAATTGGGTACTGTTGTGCTTCCAATGGCAATGAGAGAAGGATGTTTTTAAAAAAGGTTTTCTTCCCTGGGACAGGGCCAGGAGAAACCACGCCTTGTAGAAGACTAAGTTTTATTTTCACTGTTTAAAAATCTCTACATAATGAGCTCATCACCTTTTCCCAGGATTCCACAGGGTTTGGGAACAACTCTTAAAATTGGGAGTTACTAGGAAGACTTGCAGCCTTTTAGCTAACACTTCTTTTTCTTTGGATACTTCAGCTCCAGATCAAGCCTGAGGGAGCTGTGAAAGCAAACAAAGCATACCTTATTCTCTCCTGCTAGGGTGCAACTATCCTACACCCACAGACTTCTCCTGAACAAAAAGCCTGGAGTTAATTTTAGGTAGCTTAATTTCTAACAATATAAAATGTTCTTGGTGGCTATGACACAAATCGTTGGACAAAAAGTTATCACATGGTTTTCAGAACAGAAAAGAAAGAAAGGGAAAAATATGAACAAGACAATACAAGTCCTTGGATGCCTCTAATGTGCTTCATCCTTCAGGACTCTTCCTCCTCCCCTTCGTCGTCTACTTTAGGTCGGAAATTTTTCCTATTCTTTTTCTTACTGCAGTGGAATCCAACTGTTTCCACTGATGGCTCTTCAGCTGCACCACTAAACCTTGTACTCAGCTTATCTTTATTCTGGTTCCCTTCCATCATGCACTCCTCCTCCTCTGTTGCCTTTCCACTGTCACTGTCTAAGTGGCCCAGCTCTACCTTATCTTCTTCCCTCAAGTCATCAGTCTTCTTAAGAGATTTTCCTTTCACATCTGTCTTCATCTGCTTCTTATGATCCTCCCCTGTTGATCTTTTCTTTTCAAGTCCATCAACCCCTCTTTTAGTTGGTTTGGTGAAGACAATCCTCCCAGCTCCGCAGCTGGAAGGGTCCTGGTTGAAGTACGGGGTGTAGCTATCTTGGGTAGCTGAGCTTTGTTCCTCCCCTCTTTTCTTCAAACCCTCTAGAAATTCCATGGCCACTGCCCTGTTAGTCTTGTCACTAGACTCTGAAACTCCCTCTAGGCTGTATTTGGTCCAGCGCTCTGGGTGTGCCACATAGTCAGGCACTGCAGGAGAGGTTTTGGGAGCCAGCACTGGTCTGGCTTGCTTTCCCATGTTTTCTGGAACCATGTTACCTGAAACTGTGGTTGGAGGCAATGGACGCTTAAACCTCCCATCAACAACATTATCTTCAGGCATTGATGGCACAGACAACTTGGCTGCCTCTTCCAGGCAATCAAAAATGCTCTGGCTACGGAGAGAGAATGTAGAACTCATGCCCCTCAGATGGAACGGCTGGACTGGAGAACTGTGACTGCTGTTTGAAGAGTCAGGGGTCTCCCCTGATCTGTAATCCCCATCATCTACAGATGGCTCATCAGGAGATACTGTATCAACTTCTGCTTCACCCGTTAACCCTAGATCATCAGAGTCAGAATCGCTGAGCGACACCGTGTCTGAGGGCAGAGCTCCTTCGTAGTCTCTGGCACCACCAGCCACTATCCCCAGAAAGGGTTCACCTGCCTCCTGGTCTCCCATCTTCGAGCTGTTACTCCACTGAGGTCTTTGATGTAGGCGCAGGAACAGCTGCAAATACAGTTTTCCAAATGCCCAGCAAGTTTAGTGCCTAAAATACAAAGGAGCATAAAAACTTTACTGAGAAATGAGAACCAAGTATGAGACCATCATTCTGTGCTGTGCAAAATAATTATGACTGCAATAGAACAGACAACAGTACTTTAGGGATTCCTAAGCAATTTTCTTTCAAATGAAAACGTTATTTAAGGAACAAATGCACATTAAAATTAAAGATTTACACAAGACTGAATACAAGAGTATGAAGTAATTAAAAATAGTGCTACAAACCAAATTTCATTGCAGGTCCAAATACTGAAAGACGAATATAAAGCTTTTGAGCAAACCTGAATACCACATAACTGTCTTCCAAGAGACAGCAATGACCAAATTACACCCTGTGTTTATTCATATGGTATAAATCCACAAAAACACATCCTAGTTTCTCACACTCTGATTTGGTCATTATGATACTTTTTTGAATTATACCTTCTGTCCCAACAACCATCATGTTCTGCCTATTGTAAACGACGCTATCACTGATTGAGGCCAGTGGCAGAAACACCACAAAAATATCAGGGCCACGGTTTCAGGTCTGCTTTAATGTGGCATAAAGTACAAGCTCCGCTCCTTCCTTGGCTTTAAGCTCTCATGTCATTGCTAGATGCCAGGAATCAGAAAACAAACCAGCTCAAGAAATCAGTCCCATTGAATTAAGAAAACTAATCGCACATGCCATGCTTGCACATGGAAACAAGGGGAGACTGCAACCATGGGCCTCCAAGAGCAGGTCCTTCAGTCAGTAAATGACAGTGTGATTTGAGGTCTGACTTTCAGGAGCGGCTGGAATACCTGACACTGCCACCTGCTTGAAGGGAACCTTGCTGAACTGAGCCTGTTGATGGCCATGCTATCACTTGCTGGGCAACAGGAAACAAGAGCTGGCAAACACACACTTTGGTTCAACTCACAGAAACGTGAATTATGAAAACAGTTCTAATATAGTATTAGAATAAGCTCGACTACCTAATTATAGGTTTTTCTGAAACGATGCAGTAAACAGACATGGAAAGTCTGTGAGTCACTCACTTTCTCTTGAGACTGAGTCAGCTTCCCCTCCTGAGGGTCAGTTAAAGCCACCAAAGATCTCAGCACTTCCACCCTAGAAAACAAACATTTCCATCAAGATACTGGAAATGTAGTTTTAAAAAAAGTTTCAAAAATAATTCCTTCCCCCTGAATCATCCATAGCTGCAGAACCGGGTTCTAAATCTGACACAAACTCATGCTGGTTTAAAAGTCTGCAGATATTTCTGGATTTCTGGCAAAAGAGCAACACAAAGCCTAATAAGGTAGGCACCACTGTATTTACTCAGTCTCTACGTTCGCACTGCCAACTCTATTCTGTAAAACAGAAGTTTTTTAAAAAAATCAAAACATAATTTGCATGCGCAGAAAGCCATTACTAAATAAGCAGTATTAAATGCAGTTAAAAAAATAGAAAAATAACAGTTATGAGTTGCCACTACGAAGTGCTGCTAAGTATTAAGGCCATAGGTAGCACAGAGTCCTGTTTTCAAACAAAGGTTGTGTTCGCAGTTAGGGCCAGATTTTCACAAAGCATAAAACTTAAAGAATCTTCTGAAGAACCCAACAGACCAAGTGCTGTGTTCCATGTGTGGAAAGTCTGGTGTCTTTGACAAAAGGGATCTGATGACTGCCTTTGACAACACTGCACTCCATGTATGGGAAATAATCTTCCTAAAATGATACAGTCTTCGGAACATGTGAAAAGTAACAACTACAACTCAGAAGAGGCACCGAAGCACATAACTAACTAAAACAGCTGTTTTCAGATGGCAGTAAAAGTGTTCATCGCCAGCTGTGAATCAGGATATCTCTTGTCTGAGGGCACTTACACAGAAAGGAAAAATTATGCTCCTAAGGAGATGTTTTAGCCTTTACAACGATAGTAGCCAAACATACTGGCCCTTACACCACACCACTCACAGGTTTGTCACGGTGAGGTGATCACAGCACGACTCGGAGAGGATGGCGTCTCTCCGCATGGGAAGGTCCCCACTGGGCTCTTCCATCCTGGTCTCGCTCAAACAAACTCTGTGCGTCTTCCTGCAGCCTGTGAGGAGAACGGAGACCCCCGTCACCCCAAACCACGGCCACGGGCCCAGCGCCCTTCCCGGGCCGGGATGCCGCTGGATACAAAGCGCCCCCACCACACAAGCCCTTCTCGCTGGCCTCTGCGCCCTCCCGCTCCCGCCGCGCACGGGGGCCGCCATCCCACCCCGCCCGCCGGGGCACAGGGCGCGAACCGCCAGGGAAGGGAAGGGAAGGCAGATTGCCCCGTACCCCGACACCGCACGGGCCCAGCGTCTTCAACAGCCGCCGCCCGCCTTGCCCGCCTCTCCCGCTCCGCCCACGGCCAGCGGCGTGCCGGGACAGCGAGTCCCGGCCGGCAGCCACGGGGCGGCCAAAGCGGCGGCCGGACCACAGCTCCCGGCGGGGAGAGCGGTGCGGAAGGGGAGGGAGTCGCCGGTCCGTCCCCGCTCCGCCTCTCGCCGCGCTCCTGGGAGTTGTAGGCGCCCGCTTTTCCCCAGCGGGGGGACATTTTGAGCGTGAATTTGTGGGGCGAGAGGGGGCTGAGCGACTACAGCTCCCAGGGCGCACCGCGCCGCCCGACATTTCGCAGCCCGTGCGGGGCCCGGCTCGGGGCTCGGTGCGGGGCCCCCGGAGAGCCGGGGGGGGCCGGCGGGGAGGGCACGGCACCACCGCCTCCCTCGACTGTGTGGAAAAAAGACGTCACAGCCATTGTTCTCATCGGAAAAGCAGGGCTTGGCCACAACGAACACTTCAAAGGAAGTGTCTTGGGGGTTTTTTGGGGGGGTTTTTTTGTTTGGTTGGGTTTTTTTTACCTTCTTACGTTTTTATTTTCAAAACAGAAAACCCCAAGTCACTCGAGGCATAAAACCATTGTCCATAACAAAAAAAAAAAAAAAAAAAAAAAAAAAGTTTCCATTCTCTGTCCCAGAACATTTTTTGCACGTGTGTCAAGAAACAGAGCTCTGTCTGAAAATGCCTTGTTGGTGTTGGCCAAAGAGGCTTGACCTTTTTTTTTTTTTTTCCCCTTATTTCAGCAAAAAGTTTAAATTTTCAGCACAAATACATCTCCCCAGTGGCTGCAGTGTTCAGCTTGTTTTCCCTATGTTTAGGAAAAATTATTTGGTGTGCCAGGGGGCTGTGCCAGGGGAGGTTGTGGCTGTGGAGGCTTCACTGGCTCCTTTCGAGCCGGGCCTCACTGTGAGTCACCCGTAATATAAACTGCAGCCACTTCATGTGCATCCTCAGTTTTTAAATACATACTTTTGCCTGCTGGAGTGTTGCTAATTACAATAATTTATGAGACAAGGGCTGTGTTTGGAATACATTTGGCAGCAATGATGAGGTTAGTGCAAAATGTCTTCCATCTAGCTGGAGTCATGCTGTAGTTTTAAAACAACAGCTTTAGAGGTGTTTTCCTGGTTAGCGGTCCTATTTTTTTAACGTATGTGCATATGGTAGTACGGTCACTAGAATTCAAATGGGTTCTTGGAGGGAAGAAAGGAAAACATGAGTCTTTTAGTAGGTAAGCAGAAATGGAAAGGAGAAGGGCAGTAATCAGGCAAAGGCAGCGAAGAGTAAACCCTAGGTAAAGACTACCAGTGTTGTGTAACACTGTCTAGTGTGCTGGGGACAGAGCAGGAATGAGTCCCTGGATGTAGTAAGGAGCAGGCAAGAAAAGGATGTGGAGTAAACAGTCGCATGCCCCATTTCTGTAAGGCTGGAGACAAGCAGGGTACATCATAGACTGGAGCAAACAATGGCACTGTTTCTTGTTTTGAACCCTGGTTCTGTGTGAGATCAGGGGCTGAGAGGGGCAGAAGAGGGCAACACCACCTCGCTATATCACATGGGGATGATGTGTGTGCCTTTAGTGACAGGCCATATTCCTCCATTTCCATTTTTTGCCTGGATGCCGTGTATATTGATAACCAAGGTCACCTTTGGAAGCTGAATGTACCCTTTTCCTCCTTCCTGTTTTTTTATTCAGAAGATTTAGTATTGCACACTGCAGAGAACGGGGGACGAGCTGCTCATTCTCTGGTGGCTGAGGACAAGACATCTTGCAGCAGTGGATATACTGGTGTGTTGGGATTTTCGCTATTGCTTGGCGACAGCTGAAATAAAAATAATGAGTCAGAGTCTGAAGACGAACAGATGGTAAAGCATTTTCCCCTTCCTGGCCTGAACTGAGGTGGCTTGAAGACGGTTGGGGGCTGGAAGGTGGATCTGAGCTGCAGCACCGGACATCATCCAAATGAGCGGGTTGTTTCCAGTGAGTGGGCTCCAAGGGGCCACTCAGTCACCGAGATGGCCCCATGTGCCTGCAGGAAGCCAGAGCGTGCCTGGGTGTGGGGGTGGCATGTGCAAATGCACACCAGCCTCAGCCCCGGTACTGGCGCCTCCTGCTCCTGTCTTGCAAATAAATCTGTTGTTTGGCCCCCATCCGGTGACTGTTTCCGCTGCTCCCTGGCAGTCTCCTGCTGCTGCTCCTGTGCTCAGAGCTTGGGGTAGGCGCCTGGCAGGGGCTGCTGGCCCCTCTCCTTGTGGCTGTAGGAAAGCAGCAGGCGATTCCCCAGCAGCCACACAGATCCTACAAGCCAGACAGAGCAATAAGATGTATTTTCACCATCTCCTGCATCTGGAAGGAGTATGGAGGTTAGTCAGACGTGGCCACATGCAGCTGATGGTGGAGCTCCTGAGGGGAGGTGGGGAGGCAAAGGGTTATTTTACTGCAGGCAAAAAGGAAAAGCAGAGTCATGACCACCGCATCCTTCTCTGTTGGTAGAAGGCAGTCACACCAAGCCAGACTGGTACAGGCTGAAGGAAATAGTTGAGTTGCCCTGTCCGATTTGCCAGAAGGAAATCCTACAAATGGCCTTGAAATCCCCTGTGGGCCATTTCCAGAATTCAGTGCTTGACACCACCTCTCTTCTATAACAAGCTCTGCTTACCTGTTTTACTTTGCATGTTCATTTGGTCCTGGCTCACCTGAAAGCAGGTTTAATTTATTCCTGTGCTGTTTACCCATGTTGGTGCAATTTTCCCATAAGGTAACTACATAAAATTAGTTCCTGTGGAGTGAGTTTTAATGCAAGCGAGCTATGAAGGTCTTTATCAACTTGATTCTTCACAATAACAGTGGTATTGTCAGCCTATAGAGGACCTGCAGGGAGACCCTGCAACCCCTTTTCTGTTAGAGACATTGCATGTGTGGGAGGGAACTGAAGTCCTTTATGAGTAAAATTAATACTCTCTGCAATTACTTGAATTTTTAAAAGGAAACAAGCAGTTGGGGGTGTCTGTTCATTCTGATTTAGCTAAAGAATATTTGTACTAAAAAAACCCTTCTCCTCATCTTACTGCTTTTTTCTTTTTCCTGTCGTTGCCCCAGCATGCCTGATACCAGCTGCAGTAATGAAGGGCTGAAAGAGGTCGAGGGAACCAGCTGAGGACCTTGAAGTTTACATTAACAACAAACTCACAGAACCCTAAAGCTTCCCAGACCTCTTGTTTGAACAAGACCTATAGGAGTTTCATTAACCAACACAACTTTGTAGCCAGAGCCAAGCCTTGCATTTAACAGCATTAGCCCTTGCTGGAGGAAATCTCAGCAGTTTACTCACAGCCAGCAGACAGGATGTTCTGTGTGCACCATCTCACCTGACCTCTCCGGTACTCAGCAAAGCTGTGTTCTGACATGAGGGAACACCCTAGCAAAGCAGGGCCAAGAAACACTTTTTCTTTTTTTTTAAAAAAAGGGAAAAGGTGTGATTAATTAGAAATGTTACTTGCAACCATTGGCACTTGCGATGGGCCATCTAAATCCAGTGAGAAACACCAGGCAGTTCGCAGCAGCATGCCTAGTTGCACAATTTATGTACCCTTTAATGTGTCTGCAAGTGTGAAAACAATGCAGGTTTCAGTCATGCAGCAGTTTTAGCATCTGGGAGGTGTTTTCTGTTTGCTCCAGGTCCCTGGGCACTACAATGAAAGCATCAGGCTGCCAGAGTCAGACAAGCTGCTTGGCTGAAGAGGTTGCCAGAGGTTGGCTGGAGAGGTTGCACCAGAACAGCATTTCTGTGTCCTGCTTGGGTTATGCTCCGTGCACAGTAATGTGATGCTCCCCAGGCTGAAACTGAGGAGTGGTCAGTTAACAATACGCAGCCTCTGTCTAGATCAGGTGCACAGCATAGTACATATGGGACTTGAGATTCGTAGTCTGTGTCTTTACCACTTAATCAAGAGCTGGTCAAGTAGTCAATTGTTTTGCTTTCCCCTTCAGCACCCACTGGTGGCAGATGTTTCCTCCCTGGGGTCTGTGTTTCCACTCTTGCGGACTCTCTGGTGCAGCCACAGTTTGTAGCCCTACCACAGCCCTTACAGTGAAAGGGATTGTTGAAATAGTCACCTTTTCTTCAGAACAGTCTTCTCTGTTGTCAGCTGCTTCGCCCTGGAGCTGAAATTCCCTCCTCTCAATTGGAAGGGCCACACAGCCATGCCCAGCACAGGAAACAGTGGTTCTGAGCAGGAATGTGAGCACAGCAACTCACACGTCCTTCATCACAGAGCCCAGCTAGCAGAGCTGGCAGGTAGAGGGAGGGTGTAGCCAGATCCAGCAGTATGGGTGCTTTCCCCTTCAGAAACCTCCTCCATAAACAGCTCTGGTATGGGAGAGCTGGCTGGTTTTATATCCTCCTGTGAGAATATTTCAAATCTTAGTTACAGCTTAGACAACCTCTGATTACAGAATGGAATAAGCAATTTATACATGTTAGTCGCAGCTGTCTTAGTAGGAAACCATTAGGCACACTGCTACTTAAAAAACAAACAGTCCAGAAGAAGCTTACGAAACACAGCTCGCCAAAGCAAAAAATACCTTCAAAATTTATTAGAAACACTAGGGGGTTTTAATGAGGAAAAACAAAAAACAGTTTGGGAGGGAGGAGGAAAAGAATTCCACTGGAAAAAATCCCAGCTTGGTCTTGTTGAGAAAAATTCATGCCTGTGTTTTTATTTTCTGAAAATTCTTGTTTCATTTAGAAAACCCCCAAAAAACTTCCTTAGTCATATTCCTAGGCATTGGAATTCTACAGTAAAGTCTCCAGGGACTTTTCAAGTCACTTAGACCTCTGGAGAAAAATGTTAAAGAGAAGCATAAGCCAGGGTTGTCCATGCAAGATGAACACAAACAGGGTGCAAGCATTCCACCCGCCCTTTCCCCTCACAGTCGGTTATCCACGTGGCCTCACATATCCTACATGGCGGGACTGTTGTTTTCCAAGAATAACCCATATCTTCACTCAACAGCACCTCAAAGGGGCCTGGTTTGCCCAGTC